GCCCGAAGCTTTATCGCGTTCAATTTCCTTGAGCTCCTTTTGCGCATCCCATGTAACGGGGGTTGAGTCAGTGGCTGGACATGAGTTCCGTTTACGGAGCACATGCGGGAAATTTTGGAACATGTAAATCTGTTTCTGAAGTCCGCTAGGGCATGCGATGCTCACCTTCTGTATCCGACCCAAGTCCAGCGCCATCGTGAAAAGGCCTTCTGTTTCCTAAGACGAACAATGATAGTAAGCGGCCGGACTTCATATGCAAATCCTCCGTAAGCAGTCCTATTTTTCGAAAGTTTCTAGAAATTGAAGTGAGCATAAGGCCCGCACTGGAGGTTGTCACAACCGTCGGCGTCCCTCCGTGCGTACACACGACAGCGACAAGCACGGGAAATCGGGTGGACAGGCTATGGGAGGTTTACTAGCTCTTGCTCACTGCACGCTGTGCCCTAGTGCAGCAGCCGTTCAGCAGCGGCCTGGTGTTGCAAGATATGGGTTTTGGGCGTAGTGGCGTGCCGCCAAGGGACCTGATGCTAAGACATGCAAAAGGGTTCAGATACTGCTTGGTATGCACCCTTAAGGGCCCCTGGCAATATTCTGTTCGATATGCGTGGCTAACATGCGTGGTTGGTGATGGCGATGGCACGTGACATATGTGAGCCATTTCTGCCGTAGGTGTAGTGAACCAGCTTGGACGTGGATGTCCATGTTCAATCTGGCATCGGCGGGTTAAATCGAACTGCTGGCCTAGCGATACCTAGTCGTCCCTGCGACTGCGGGCTCTTCCGCGACTGAAGAATTGATTCTTCTATATGCAGCAGAATGATAAGTGCATGAGAAGCAGAGGCCCGGAGCCCAGGGCAATGCCGCGTTTTTGCTCGACGGTTAAAGGTAACCGTTATGTCGTATAATTTAACCATCCGTGCAGTTCCTTTAGCTTTGCTCTGCCCATGTTGAGAGTTGGATTGGATGCAGTTTCAAGTCGTGTAGGAATTCCTTTTAATGTTATCTAACAGCTGCGATGGACACGTTGCGCTAAAGAAACAAGTCGAGTCTGGAGGCTTTGTCAAACTGTTCTATTAGAGCATAACTAAACCGCATTGTTATGGCATGGCCTTATGGCGCCGAAACCTACCCGCGTTGAACGGCAGACGAAATTACACTCGGAGGTTAGTGCTTTGGCACGCTTTCCCGCAAAGAAATTACCTGAACAAGCTGTAAGGATGTACACGTACCAGCTTTGAGCTGCACGTGTTTTGAGCGCAGGAGGTCATACAGGATTGGTCGTCTTGCGGTTCCCCGCCCCATATCTATGTCTTACACAAGGATTTTAGCCCGCATTTGTCTCGAGAGCCTCAATTTGATGAGGCGATTGAAATTCGTATCCAGGTGCCGGGAAAGGTGCGACAGTTCGCAACCTCCTGCCCATGGGATGCCTGCTTCCCACCTGATGATGTGCTGTGTTCTGCGTTCAGGAGGTGGGAGGCTTGGACCGGCGCCCCTTGTACTCAAGTTACACGCTCCTTGACGAGGGTCAAGCTGGCGGCGAGCGCCGGGGTCGCCTTGACATGACAAAAGTTTACGGATACATCCTCAATACAAAGAAATACAAATTGGACATATGTGCGGGCGATGAGCTGCAAGTCTGGTCGTCCGATTTGCTGGACTGGTTTGTCCTGGGGCTGGTGACACCGAAGTGTGCCGTCTGCTACGGCGACACATCAACTAGCGGTGAGCTTTCGTGCCTCTTCCCCAGGTATTGTCAGTCACTTTAAGGGTCAAGGCTAAGGTTAAGGTGAAGCTAGGGGGAAAAACAGCTCGGGTACCGGCAGGTCGGCTCGTGCACCTTGCGAGACCTGTACGTGGCGGTTCTTGAGACCTCGTAACGCTCCATCGGTACTTGGTCTGGCGATGCTCTGCAGGTTCTCTGCTGGTCCGCTGCCAAGCCTGTAGGCGCTGCTACCACAAGGCTTGCGCGGTACATGGCAGGGGGCAACAGTTCCAATGCTTGGGCTGCACAGATAGAGAGCAGCTGCCGCTGCAGCAGGAGCTGCACGAACAGCACCACGGGCAGCAGGAAGAGCAACAGCCCTCGCATGAACGCCAGGAGCCTTCTGATCAGCAGCAGCAGGAGCCCTCCGGAGAAGCCCAGGCTCTCAACCACAACCACCAAAGCCACCGCCCATCTTCGCAACACCAGCACCAGCAACGTTTAAAGCGGAAACTATCGCCGCAATCGCGACCACGGCAGCAGCAGCAGCAGCAGCGAAGGCCGCCACAGTCACAAACTTCGCAACAAACCTCCCAACAGACCTCGCAACGGCAACAAACCTCACAGCCCATGACCCAGCAGCAGCAGCAGCCTTCGTCACAGCACGAGCCAGCAGCAAATGCCCAGGAAGAAGACGACAGCGACTCGCTCCCTGTGGGCCAGCTGCTACGGCAGCGGTCTACAACTAACCTGGCGCGGAAGCGGCCCGCACCGCCACCGAAAGTCGGCATGGACAATCACGATGGCAGCGAGGATGACCAGAGCTCCAGCAGCGAAGACGATGGCACTGACAACGACAGTAGCAGCGCCAGCGGCGATAGCCGTAGCCATAGCGAAGAGCCCCAGGCTAAGCGGCGCCGCTTGGACGAACACACCGCGGCTCCTAGTATCTCCTCAGGCGAGCAAAGACTGGGCAATGCCGGCCGCGGGAACGGGCGGGGTCCAGGTGTACGGTGGCAGGTGCGCGGTGTTGCTGCCGCAGGACCGGCGGAGAGGCAGGGGCGCAGCCGAGATGGCGGTGAGGCAGGGAGGCAGGTTGGTGACAGGGAGGATAAGGGGGGCTTGGATGGGATGGCAGGCAACGGCGGGGATGCGGCAGCAGTCCGTGCGGAGAAGGCGGCGCTTGATGATGAGGCGGCTCGGAGTTTGTTGGCGCTGCCGCGGTCGGCAGAGCCGCTATTGCAGCGGTCAGGGCGAGCAGCAAGCCGCGGGCGTGGTAGGCGAGGCGGAGGCAGCAGTACCGGCGGCGGCGGCAACGGCAGCTTGGGCCGGGCGGGTAGCGGGGAAGAGACTGCCGTCACTGCGTCGATGGCGCACAGGGCATCGCACAGCAGCAGCAGTAGCAGCAGCAGTAGCAGCAGCAGCAGCGGGGACGATGAGGACAATGCGCGCATGAATGATGGAGACGGCATAGCGGCACTTGCTGTTCTTGACGACGTAGTTGTTTCGGCTGCCAATGCATCTGTCCCGGCCGGCGAGGCCGCGACAGCAGCAACAGGAACAGCACCTGCTGAGGCTGGGGTTGTGGAGGGCACGAAGAGTTACGAAGACGGCGCTGGCATCCGCATACAAGGCGATTCAGCAACCGCTGCGGTGCCTGAGGACGCGGCCACTGTTGCCGCCGTCGCGCAGGCACCAGCAGAAACAGCAGAGGCAGCCGTAGAAGGAGTAGCAGCAGCAGCGGCAGCGGCAGCAGCGCAAGGGGAGCCGATGCAAGGAAATGATGGCGACGGGGGGGGTTCCTCGACTGCGGGAACAGACTCTTCTGCCAACCCTCGCTCGGCCGTACCTCCGCAGCATATTGCCAACAGGGACGCCGGCGGCAGTGCTGGGGCCGAGGCCGCTGCTGACGTCGCCGCGGCTGTTGGCATTGCGCCGAGCCCTGCGTTGGAGCAGCTTGCTGGGAATTCCTCTGACGCGGCAGCGACGCCTGGGCGGAGGCTTGAAGCTGTTGCTCCTGCGGGGCCTCGCGATGGCGCTGCTGGCCGTGGGGCAGCCGTGAGAGCCGCCGTCCCGGTAACTGCCTCCGGGAGACCGAGCTCCGCCGCCGCAGTGGGCGCGGTGCTTGCTGCTGCGGGGCGAATGCGACGGGGCGCTGTGCCAGGTCGGTTTGGGGGCTGCATGACGGGACGCATGAGGATGGGCGAGAAAGCGGGGTTGGTATGGGAGTTACGGGCCTGTTGGGGGGTGGGGGTTGTCCTACGGGTGCAGGGAAGCGCATGTATAGCGGTGTGGGCGCTGGTGCCGTAGTGCGCATGGTGGTGACTGTGTTTGGTGCTTCGGCACTCGGGAGCAGCGCTTTCATGCGCCGCTTGGGGCGGCGTGTACGGCTTATGGGAAAGTCGGGGGTTTCCGTCAGTCCTCAGCGGACGGACCCCGCTGGCCCTATATGGGGACTTCTGATTGTAAACCACGCAGCGCCCTTGCGGGGAGCGCGCTCGGATTTTTTTAGCCGAGAGCATGTCTGTCTTACCGTAGCCCTGGGAGTGTGGGAGTGTTGGGAGTAGTGACGTCGGGGTGGTAACGGAGGGTTAGCTCGCCTCAGCTGACCGGAGCTCCAGGAGGCTCGGGAGCGCGGGAGAAGAAGGCGGTCCGGTGAAGGGAAGGCGTGTGATGTGGTGTGGTGTGGTGTGGTGGCAAACAAAAGGCGTGTCTCCCGAGGGGAGGGGGGAGGAGCGGGCGTCGCCTACGGGAGCTGGTTGTGGTTGGCTCCGGTTGTCTGGGTTGTTGGGCTGGACTGGGCTGGGTTCATTCTTCGGGCCGTACTCGCCGTGTACAAACTTGGATGCGCGTATCCAGAGGCGCGTGTGCAAGCTATGGTCTATCCGCCAGCTGCTGATGGCCAGAACCAGCGGAAAGTGAACGGATTGATGCCTGTCCTGCGCCTGTGTTTTTCGCAGGCATCGCCGCTGCTGGCGGCGGCGGCCGCCGCAGCGCCGCGGCGCCGGCGACGAACGGTGGCGGCGTTGCCTTGCTCCGCAGCGGAGCAGCAGCTGCATTGCCGGTCCGAGCCGGTCCGAGCGCCACGTTTGGTGGCAGAAGCGAGACCGGCGGAGGAAGCAGCGATGACGGCGGTGAGGACGCCGCAGACCCCTATTTGGAGGCTCTCCTGCGACAGTTCCCGTTGCCTTCCTGCGCCGTACGACCGCAAGCGACGGCGGCGGGACCGACGGCGGCAGGGGCGACGGCGGCGGGGGCCCCGGCGGCTGCACAGTCTACGCCCGGCCGCCGTCTGCAGGCGGCGCCGGCGGGTTTGCTAACGGGAGCGTCCCAAGCCCTGCAGTCCGTCTATGCCGAGGTCCAGCAAATGCTGGACCGGGAAGTGGAAAGTGAGCTGCTTGGGGGATGCTCGTGGTTTCTGCGCATGGCACGATCATGCGCAACCCGCGTTTCTGTGCCTCGGCAGTTGTGCGCCGGTTTTCCTTGCGCGCAATGTTTGGGGCGCGTTAGGTGCTCTGGACCAGCTCAAGGCACTACCTGAGGAACCTAGCTATGCAAACGAGCTATGCCCGAACGCGCCGACGGCCGCGCAGCTTTACGGCTGTTCGGGACCATCCTTCGGAGCTGTGCATCCTAATCTACGGCGTCACTCTCTTAACCCTCCCAACGCAGCATTTGCGGTTAGGTCCTGCTGCTCTAAAAATAGTTTTGAAGTCCCGCTCTTATCCGCCAATGATCCGCAGATGAGTCAGTCTTGGCGCAAAAGCTGCGGCAGGCGGAAGCCTGTTGGCAGCGCCTGGTGGCGCTGTACAGCAAGCAAAAGGCCCGTCTGGGTCGTCGTTGTACGGAGATGCAGCGGATGCAGGAGAATCAGGCACGGCAGGCCGAGCAGTTCAGGTGGGAAATGTGGGCTTAAGGAGCGGAACACGGCGTGGCATAGCATCGGCACACATAGCGCGGTTTCTGCAATATGAGGTCGCGTGTTAGCGGCATAAAGGCATATTGTGGGGGGGGGAGTCGCTTGCCCGCGCGTCAGGGCCAGGTCGGGGCTAAGGATGCCATGGCCGTCTGTAAGCCCTGAAGGCAACTGGTTCCTCGAACGGCACTTTGGGGGTTTGCTTTTGTTCCTTTTTGTGTCGTTGCTCGTGGGGTTGTACGGTCCGAGTGAGTGACCGACCCATGGGTCTCACCCATTGAATGCACGATACATCCACCGACCGACCCATGGGTCTTCAGGCTGCAGCTGAGACGGCAGGCAGATGAGCTGCAAGCGCTACAAGCGGCGGTGGCATTAGCTGAGGAGGTGGGTCACGTGTTAGAGGTGGCTCTACGCGCGTTGCGTGCGCATTGCATGGGATCATGGCTTAACCATGTCGCCCAGATGGTTGCTGTACCCTGATGAGCTTGTCTCTCTGATGGCGCGCTTGTAGTTGAGAAGCCGTCACGCTCTATACGCGTAATTATATAAAAACACTATCATTTTGATTTGCTATGTACTCACTAACTGTAATTACTTTCTTTAATCATAGACTATCCTTTCTTTCTTTTTCTTTTTCAAAGTAATGACTTGTAAATTAAGTGACTTCACCATAAAAAGGTATAGCCCTTGCCATACCTGTTCCGTAGCTGTACCTCCTCCGAATGCTTCTCTATCTTTGGGAATCGGGAATTCGGTCATCATCATCATCATCATCATCATCATAAATTCGCATCCTAATGCCGAAAACTACCATGGTGTGATATCTCGTTTACTCGTCTGCAGGCGCAGACTCGCAGCCAGGAGGAGGTGGCCCGGCAACGAGAGCAGGTTTCGGAGCTTCAGCAGGTTGCCGCTGCGAAGGCGGCGCTGGAGCAACGGGCGGCAGCCGCCGAGCAAGAGGTAGATTGGTTGCGCCGCCAGCTGGCGGCGACTAAGCAGGAGCTGCAGCAGAGCGAGGAGGCGAGACGGCGGCTGAAGCAGGAGATGCTGGACCAGGCCGAGGAGTTTCAGCAGCGGCAGGCGCAGGAACGCAGTGAGGCGCGGCAGCGCCACGAGCAGGAGCTGCAGCAGGCAGAGGCGGCGCGGCAGCGCCACGAGCAGGAGCTGCAACAGGCAGAGGCGGCGCGGCAGCGCCACGAGCAGGAGCTGCAACAGGCAGAGGCGGCGCGGCAGCGCCACGAGCAGGAGCTGCAACAGGCAGAGGCGGCGCGGCAGCGCCACGAGCAGGAGCTGCAGCAGGCAGAGGCGTTGCGGCGGCGCCACGTGCAGGAGCTGCAGGAAATAGCGCGGCAGCTGGAAGACGCGCGTCGGGAGGTGGCGGATCTGCGAGGGCAGCTGGCAGCGGCATCACAGGGCGGACGAGCCGCCAGGGGTGACGACGCCAGGGTCAGTGGCGCTGGCGGCGGTGGCGGTGGAGGCTTGCACGAACCTGGGCTGGGTTACATCGGTGCCGCTGCCGCTGCCGGGCATGATGGGCGGATGGCGGTGATGTCGGCCGCGGAGACAGCCGAGTCGGACCGAATTTGTGAGTCCCTTGGGGGGGGGGGGAAAGGGGTAAAGGACGAACCGCTGACACGATTGAATCAGACACCTGTCAGAGCTAGGGGGATTGCGAATATTCCACACAGGATTAGACAAGGCAGTTACTGCATTACAGGAGTACTTTTTGAAGTTACTTACGAAGGGAGGGAGGGGCATGAAAGGATGGGGGAAACGTAGGGGAAGCGTCGGAGGGCTCAAGGATTCGGTTTCGTGCGCTGTTGTGGTTTAGCTTTGGAATGGTGGTATGGCAAGGATTATAGCGGTGACCAAGGGCCATCAATGTGGTGTGATGTGGTGTGTGTTCCTGATTCATAATCGCTGTGAGTTTGGACCCGAAAGGGACAAAACCTGCTCTTGCGTCGTTCACGTCATGCCGCATTACGAACTGAGATTTGCGAGAGCGATTTTTTCACTTTGCGGTCGCGTCGTTCGGTGAAATGAAATGAAATGCGTGCTCCCTGGAGTCCCTGCTGTACGGGTCATGCGAATCCAGCCCTTTCCCGTTTGCATTTCGGTCACGTCCCCGTCGGGTTGCGATCTCTCTTCCCTTACGTCGCTCTTCACACCACATCCTGGTTTCCCGCCACGTCCTTCTACCCGCATAGCATGATGATGTCGCCGCAATGACATACATATAGCTATGATGCTGTGCTGGCAGGGGGCTCCCAGAATTCAGGTTCCAGCCAATGGCACATTATTACTAACCCTGCTCTTAGAGAAAAGTGTTCTGAGAGCCAGCAGCAATCAACGAGCCAGCAGCAATAGATACTTGTAGTAGTGCCTGGGTACAGCCTGGGTGGTCGAGGACTGGGTATATGCAATGCTTACACATGTATCCATGACAGCAAGTGTATACAGGCAAGTATATGCATCAATAGGCAGTTGTAATGTGCTACATCCCCATTTTCCGCATTTTCGCATAAGTGATTTCGCGCTTGCTGAATTTGTTCTGAAATGCCGTGCTTCCCAGACATCGAGCAGCTGGAGGCCACCACAGCTCGTTTGCGTGCCGATGTGATGCGTCAAATGGCCGAGAGGGTCGAGGAGCGGCGGGCTCTGGAGACGGAGGTGGAGTTGTGGAGGCAGCTGGCCAGGGTGAGTGGGTGCTTGTGTGTGTGGGGGGGGTGAAGAGGAAGAGGTAGTATGGCCAGAACGAAGGAGTCAAAAAGAGCTGTGTGGGTAGTGGGATGTGGAGAATAAGGAGGAAGAAGTGGGGAGGGGAGGGTTGGAGTGGAGTGGAGTCTGCTGGTGTACTGACTACATATATAGTATAGTGTGTAGTGTATATATAGTATATGTAATTACCACATGTGCTATCTTTACTAAATCCAGGCTAAATAACCTGTTTGTTTTCTGGTTAGCTAATATTGTTTGTATAATTCGCTTTCCCAAAGAACCAGTCAGTGTACATTTTTTTTGTAAAGTCCACCGGACTATGTATACTAGTGTAAAAAGCCGGCGTGTGGGGAATTTTCGAAGACTTCTATACCCGGGCCACGTGCCCCAGGACAGCACGGGACCGTTACCAGCGTTGGTTGGGACGGGAGGGCCCTGGCGGCTGCTGCTGCTGTATCCGCAATGCATGTAGTTTGGAGTGGGGGTGGGGGTTGGGGTGGGGGGTAAGGATTAGGAAAAAGAGCAGACCAACCACGCGTTCAGCACTCGTTCTCGCGTTCAGCACTGCACTGCACTGGAGAGTCACTTAGCCGAATCCAGTATAAGTGCTGTTATACTTGCATCTGGGCTGGGCGGGGTCTCTGATAGCAGCGCCGGTAGCCCGCGTGCATGCGGAAAGGGGGAAGGGTAAGACGAACCACGGTGACGATTGAAGCAGGAGGAGGAGACGGGTGTAGCGGTAAGGTAGCTGGGGGAGACTGGCACAGGTCGTCAGGTGGTTGATGGTCGGGGCCATGAGGCGGGAGGGAGCTCTCCGCGCCATTTCCTGCAGCACAGATGTCATTCAATCCTCCCCCATGAGGTTTTCTAAGGTGCCCAATATCCAATAAATAGTTGGGGACTGCGGGGGTGCAGCTTGCAGCTAGGAAGTGCGAGTCGCATTTTCCCCGTCCCCACAAAACCCTGATTCTTTTAGCTGCTTTCGAATTTTAAGCCTTCTCTTTCCCGCGCTTTCCTTCTTTGCTCCTTTTCAATCCCCTTGTTTTCGTCATGCACCACCGTCTTCCGGAATCCGGAACACACAAATGTACATACATATATACACACGTGGTGTGGTGTTATGTGGTGTAGAGAGCCCCGGCTCGTGTCAGCCTTGAGTATCCCCCGCACCACGCCTACCAGCAGCCCCAGCCGCCCCAGCAGCAGCCCCGCTTTGCGGCGGCCCCGACTGGACCGATGGACCCGAGCGGCGCCCTCACAGGTCGGGGTCGGGGGCTGTTGGCGGTCCCTGGCTGGTCCGCAGCTGGCCTGGGGGCGGACGGTGCGGGCGGAAGCGGCGCAGGTGCGGTCCGAAGACACCACCAGCAGCAGCAGCAGCAGCACCCACACCACAGACTCCAACAACAAGGGCCGTCACCGTCGCCGCTTGCCCCGCACCGCCATAGTCTGGACCCCGGGACAGAGCCAGCATAACATTGGTACTTGGGAGGTGCAGCGCAACCCCATGGCTACCAGCAGCATGTAGCTCGGCCGCCGCAACCACCACAGCCGCCAGGACTGCACCCGCAGCAGCAGCCAGAGCTACAGCCGCTTATCAGCAGCAGCAGCCAGAACCGCAATCGCCACATTTGTTGGTTTCGAAGCCCCAGTGACGGCGTCACAATGACGGCCTTTGTGGCGGCTTACTGCCGCCAGCGGGCGTCACCCCGCCAGCGGCCGTCGCCACACCAGCCTTTGCTGGCCGGCCTCCTGGCGACGTAATGTGACGTTGCAGCAAAAACACCGAGCACTGGCACCCCGCGGAGCTGGATATCTGAAATGAGCCGACGGCGGCGGCGACGGCGACGGCGACGGCTACCCACTCCCAGCCGCGCGTCCATGCGAGCTGGTGCAGATGGCTGATGCGGCGGAAGGTGACCTAGAGTTGTGAGGGGCTTTGGAGGCATATGATATGTGCTTGTGCATGATGGAGGTGACCATTAAAGCCGGAAGCCGAAAGCTATGTGCCAAGCAAAAACCCAAGGAATATTTACTTCCCGGGTCTACTTCTCCGAAATTCTTAATGGGAAATTTAGGTAGAGTCAACTTCAAGCTAACGGTCGTAGGTCTCCAACGTCCAACGTGCTGGTGTGGTGTACAGAGAGCTTAGAAAATAGTTGGCTGTCCCCCTTCAGCAAGGGGGGGGAGACATTCCCCCCGACCTTATTGGACATGTTTTGATGGAAGCGTAGAATGTGTCGACAGGTGTTAAGAGGCCTTGCGAGGGGGTGCCGCGGGGAGCTTTTGATGACCTCTTGGACTGCCTTTCAAGGGTTGGTCCGGGCAGGTGGTTGTGTTGGACCCACCTTTACCAGAAGTGTAAAAAGGCGTTGATAAGGTGCGTGGGGTGACAGACAGGCCGGGGGGGAGAAGAAAGGATATAGCGGAGCGTAGGAAGTCGCAGCCCACGCTGGAGGCTCACTTGTGTATTCGGTTTGTCTTCCGGAGGATTGGGGCCATGACCAGCATTGCGATACGCGCAGAGGCGCTAAGCGTTGCTGAAAAGTGGGTAGGCGCTTTGGCGACGGAAAATTTTGCAAGGGCTCCCGTGAGGAAAGGGGACTCGTGTGACGAGCATGGGACTCGAACCGGGTCCTGGTCGTATTGAAGTGCGCAGTGGACATTTTTTGCGCTTTCTACGCACATTTGCATAAACATGAATTAAAGCATGCATTAAGTGTGTACCGTCCAAACGTTGAGGCCCTTCACGTTGACATGTACTGCTACTTTGTCAATTGCTATAACTTTTTGTTTCATGTTGCACACATGCATGCTTCATGCTATATTTCTTTAAGAAATTTTAAGTGAGCTATAACATAACTTACGGTATGTCCTCTAAACTCTGTTGCTAACGCGTTGAGGGACAAAACAATCGAGTGCTGAACCTTCCGCCCCGCCGAACCTTCTCCACGGCCGCCTTCCGACTTCCTGAGGAGGGAAACTGATCCTCGCGACTTGAGATTGTTGTCATATGTGCATGGCGCTCGGACGATGCCGGCTCTTGCCAGCCTTTGCAGCACTTTCCCCGTATCTTGAACATGGTCCCTTCGGCGATTTCAATGCTGTCGAAGCCTGGTGGCCAGCGCAGTGGAGTACGTGTTGCTCGGGCAAGGTGCCGAGCCGCAAGACAGCATTACTGGATTGCGATTTGGTCGTCTTGATGACAGATTTGAACTGTAATACTGTATGTCGTGCGCGGGGGAGGGGGGCGGTTTTCCGTCCGTCACCCGTTCCAGGGCGGGAAAGAACATAGTGTTGCGAAGGGTGGAGGGATCGTGGCGCGACCTTTGGGTTCTTGCGTCTGCAGAAACTGCACCCCGATACACTGGCACGCGGGCGGGGAACGGCCGGGGAGCGTTGCGGCTCTCTGCACATGCGGCATGTTCTTCCGTTTTTCTTTCGGTGCCCTTTTCACTGGCATACTTCTTTGTGCTGTGTTGGCGGGGCTGCGCTTCTTGAGGGTGGCACCTACCGCATGCGGTGGGTGGGTGCAGTGAAGTCGAGGGCGCGAGGAGGTCCCCGCATGTGAGGCAAAGTTGGCTTCGCCTAGCCGGTCGACAAGGATTCCCGCTGTATGAGAGTACTGAGCGTGTCAGTAGATGTCTCAGGCCGCACCTTGGCGAATTTCCTTGACTATTGCAGGGCACTGGATGGCAAAGGAACGGCTGATTGATGATGCACCTGACGAAGCACCCTGTTCCCTGCTTTTGCCGTGGCCAGAAAGCTGTTGGTCCGCGCCTGGTGGACGCGGTGGCAGTCGCCAGGGCGAAGCATTGGCCCCTCCGCGACGTTGGGGGAGCCTGTACCTGGAGGGGACTGTACCTGGAGGCCCGAACCCAGGAAACCCTTTGGTTAAAGCTCTGCAACGCGATGGACACGCGATGCACTTGTTCGTACGCTTATCTACGAAACTGCGCCGCCCACTTGGCAAGAAAGGCAACCCGGAAAGCTGTTGCATTTTTTGTGAGGCTTCGTAATGAGCATGTTTTCATTTTGATACGTATTTACCGGCTTGCGGTGTCGAGGTTTTGTTGGGCGACTGACCAGACAAGAGGTGCGCTGATGTGCGGGTCTGGCCAGGGAAAAAGACGCGGGAAGTTGGAAGCTATTTTCCCGGTCCCCAGCTGAAGTTATTCCCGCATGTGGGTCGCGGTCGGTGACGGAACGTTGCACGATGGGTCTCTTGCCTTTCAACTGTAACAACATTACGGTGCGTGGAGAGCGGTCACAAACTTTTCGCATGATGAGTGAGATGCATGGCAAGCTAAGCACTCGGAAATTTTGGTATCAAGAGTCCGTGACCGGCAAATGGCGCTTGACAGGGGCTACTCGAACAGTATCCTACCTGGGCGTGCATTGTGCGTGAACGTGTAAGTGAGCACGGTTTGCAAAGGTGGACCTAGGATCCCACATATGTTGCCAGGATTGATTTTGATGAATGTCTCGCTTAGGGCTGCCTGGTTTGATCGCGTCTTTGAGTGATAGGGTTTTGAGATTGCGGTTGGCGGTTATGACCGTGCTTAGCCAAGGTCATGAGGTGCATATAATCCTTTTCAAGCCATAGTTGCTCTGTAGTCGTGTTAATATAAATAACGATTGAATTTCTAATAGCTTGTGCTGGCGTACCAACTGATTGGGACTCGCCGCAAGGCCCATGTGGATCCTTAACATACGCTGCTCAGGCCTATGCTGGAGTGAAAGTTAACTTCTGCTTTCCTACAAATTTTTCGTTTAGCTCTGGAAGTGTTTGCTTCTTGAGACATAGGCAAGAATACCCAACTTTTGTTCCGCGCTTGTAGCCATGGTAGACGTTGCGGCTGTTGACGAGACGTTTAAGCGTTTACAAAGCCATAAGGGTGTTCTAGGGATTATTGTTATCAACGCGGACGGCATCGCCATCCGCACGACCTTTGACAACGACTTGACCGTCCAATACGCGGCGCTTGTCTCACACTTCACTATCAAGGCGAGGTCGGCCGTCAGGAAGCTGGATGGTGACAATGACCTCAAGTTCCTGCGGATACGCTCTAAAAAGCACGAGATTATGATAGCGCCAGAGTTCGAAAAATCTCACGAATATTACCTCGTGGTAGTACAAGACCCGTCAAGAGAGACGTAGACATTAGACAAGGTTGGGCTGCGCGGCAGGGATGCCCGGGGAGCCACAGGCTTTCACTGGCTCACCTGCCTGGGGACTTCAGCTTTGACAGTAATTCGGTGCGTAGACGATGGACATGGGGCAGTTACGAGGCTGCGTGAACAAGGATTTGGTGTCGGAGCGACTTCCTATCTGGTTCCTTGACTTCCGGCTTTACGCCACAATGACGGTATGTACAAGGACGTTCCGGAGGTCTGCCTTTCAAGGCACTAGGGAGTAGGCACAGATGCCGGTGTATTTGTTGCCAGGTCTGATGGCTTGTGCTTGACCCAAGTTTGCCGCGGCGAATAACAAGCGTGAGCAGCTCCGGTTGATCCGGACTGACAAGGGGCAGCATGGGGATGTTTTGGCATGCTCTCTGACTTTTTATGCGGTTGATAGCTCCCTTCGCGGTGCTATTGCTCTACTGTAATATAAGGACCACTTTAAAGGCGTGCCCATCGCATACCCTCCGAAGGACAGGCCGTGGCCCTCCAAGGCGGTGAGGGCATTGCTTCCAAGCATTACAGGTCCAAAAGATCCTTGGTTACATGCTGCTTGCAGCTCGGATCGGCAAAACGTCACCACTGGGGCTACTTGCGCATTGTGGTTGTGGGTACCTCTTAGCCAGGAAGGCGATCGTTGGCGCGTGTTTTGTATCATAATCTTGTGCGGAGGTGTGCAGGCCAGCCAAGCTGCTGCTAGGTTTCTTTACTGCACCGTTGAGTGGGCACCATACCAGACACGCTATTCAAACTCCGCCTGTTAGGGGTCCACAGTGTGTGGTGATTTCAGCGAAGTAACGCTTCCGGCTCCACCGCTTGCAAATCATGGCGTCACGCGACAACAGCGGACATATTTAAACGGTCTGACATCGCGACGCGCTGTCTGGGTTTTGCAACCCGGTAACGAGACGCAGAACCGGATTTGCGCCCGCATTGCAGGTCGCAGTTGATGTTCAGGTGCGCGGATGCACAGCATAGCCTTTGCGAGTAAGGAGTTACGCAGTTCCAGGGTTTTAAGCAGTTCCAGGCTCAATGATTGGGTCCATGGCGACGTGCCTTGGCGATGGCGACATTTGGCGGATCCCGACGCAACGCCGAGGTCGCAATCGGCCTATGCGAGGTTGTCGTTATGACAACATGTCAGCGAGAACGTGCGCCAGAAGCATCCGTTTTTGGATAATGCACGTTTTCCAAGCTGAACGTGAGACATGCATTCAATTTTCACGGGAAAACGTTTTTAACCCATGAGCGGTACAAGCGCCCATACCAAGTGCGTATCAAATCCCTCCCAAGTTCATCCGAGCTCGCACGAGTTAAAAATGGCACTCTCTTTTGAGCGCCCTTGGACCACGGCCCCCATTACGGCGAGTTTATGGTTTCCATTTTCTCAGGGGGCACCTTGTCCTTCGTAAAAAATCGCTGCCTGCATACAAGACAGGGCATTTTACACTGTTTGCACGTATTAACACCATTCTTTTTGTGACGAGCGTGTCAAGACGCGTCAGTAACACACCTACCGAAGCATGCCGGATCCCTCGGGTATAGGGGATATTCCCCTGCTAAAGTACGCACTCTTCCCAAGCGCGTTCGCGGCATGATCCAAGGCAACGATGGAAATCCCCAGCGATAGGACCCGTGTTCCTGAGTTGTGCCCGCCTGGCCCGCCTGAGATGCTCTCGAGCGATATCGGTTACATACTTGGGCACACCAACAAAGCGTAAATCAAGCTGATGCTGTTTTCGGTAAGTAAAAACTTTCGTTTTATATATAGCAGGGTTATCTGTTTTCTTATTGCATTAGCGCATGAGGGGTGCACGACCAGTATGATTGCGGCATGCGAAAGGTGATGGACGTTGCTAGCGGCTGCAGGCAGGAGCCAGACGGACGCTCGGAGAGCTAAGTTAAGCTTGTCTGTGATACTGTACCGAAGCAATTCCTATATCCAGTTGATGGGGATGCTGTATTCCAAACAATTTTAGATAGCTTACTGCGCATTCGCTGCATGAGACCAGCGCAGAACGAATTACCATTAAGCCTGAAAGCTATGCTAGAAATTTGTGCAACACGGCAATATGTTTCTGCGCAGGACTTTGTCAGGCAGGACGCCAGTTACAAATGTACGGCGGAGTACTACAGGCGGTAGTTGCTGAAATTTTACAGAAAGACAGCCTTACCAATAATATGCACATCCATCCAAGTTTTAATCTAAAACACATATCTGCATTAACAGGCTTGACGCATAAGGATAGGTATGATACTAGAAACCTAGCTTCACGACTGGGCGCTGAGATTCCCTCAGCGCCCTAGTTACGCCATGAGTAGTTTCCTGTGCGCTTGCTTTTGGTCTCCACAGCCTAAAATTCCCGAGGAGTACCTGCGCCCTCAGGGACTGTACTCGCTCGAACGAGTAGACCTGAAGAAGCTGAAGCGCTTGATCCGTAACCAGCAACTTGCGCCATGCCACCCTGGTGCGGAGGAACCTACGACAGGGCAGGACGTAAGTTCAAGCGCAGTTAGTGACCGGTTGTCCCTTCTCGCATGGTCAGCACCCTCACCCTTAGTGCATATACATACGCAGCTGGAGGAATGCCCGATTTGTTTCCTTCATTATCCCGTCCTCAACAGCTCGTTATGCTGCCAGAAGCGGGTCTGTACAGAGTGCTTTCTTCAGGCAAGTGGTGGGCTTTGCTTATGAGGCGCTAAGGCATGCTTGATGCCTGGCAGAACATATCAAACCTATCTTTCAATGCCGCGCTGTTTCCTTGTTTCCGCCTTGCAGGTGCAAACCAGCACGCCTCCGCATCAGTTGAGTTCGTGTCCTTTCTGCAAGGTGACACGCCCAACAGGTTACCTTGTCAAGGTAAACGTATCGCGGTCTGTTCTTGTGCAAAACGTTATTGGGGTTCGGTATCTAACTTCTTGCCCGTTTACGGAACGTGTCGGCTGACATTTCGACCGCGTTCGCAGCTCATCGGTGCCAGAACTGCAGAAGAGAAGGAGCAGGAACGCGTTGAGGAGCAGAAAGTGATTGAAGCCAGAATTCGCGAACGGGAGGTGCGGCCTGGGGCGGGGCCAAGTTGTGTCCTCGGGAACGTAGTGATTTCTGGCAATAGCTTGTAGCACCTAAGGTTTAAAACGCATTGAACCCCCGCTGGTCTCTATTGGCTTCTGTCTGGGTGCTTTACGCGGTTTCTTGGTCGTGCCCAGCTTGCTTGCTTTAACAGCAGTCCTGCCAAATATCTGCTGCGGCACAGTGCCTGATCACCTTTTCCCTTTGACCCACTTGGAGCCTATTATAATTGGTTCCTGGGCACCGACGCCACCCCTTTTACCTTTGTGTCTACCTTTTTCCTTTTCAATACTACGCCATTTGTTGCGCTTCTCCTCCGAAGCGGCTCCACCTGCTCATGTTCCCTGGTTTCAATCCCTCAGCGCTTTACCTCCCCACGCCAAGTAATCATTCCATGTTCGCACTCGCCATCCCGCGGTAACCGGCGCCCTCCTCTGACTGGGCCCACCCTTACCGCGTGAGGCGAAGGCCCGGCTTCGCACTCGTGGACCAATACTCCCCTGTCCCGCACCGTCACTGCCCCATGGTGCTGCTGGCAGGAGGAGATACGGCGGGACCAGGAGCGCGCCTTACAGAGGCAGCAGCAACAACAGCACCCGCAGCACCAGCAACATACCAATGCAGCTGCCACTGCGGGGTCTGAGAACGGCAGCAGCGCTACCCAGCAGCAACAACAGCCATCTGCAGGTGTCATGGCTGCCGCCGCCGCGGCGGCTTCGGCCCTGGATCCTTTTGGAGGAGGAAATGCGGCCAACGCTGCTTCATCGGCGGCTGAAGGCCGGGCTGCTGCCGCACGAGGAGGATCCGCCGCTGCCGCGACGGCGGTGGCGGCGGCGGCAGTCGCTGCTGACCATTCCGCGCTTGGTATCAATGGCAGTGTTGGCGGTGGCGGTGGGGGTGGCAGTCATGGTGGGCACCACTACACGGTGCATTATCACAGCGGAGACCGCCACCGCTGGTCACAACCTGCTGGCACCCCTTCTGCAACAGGGGGACCTAATGCCACTGTAGTTGGAGGTGGAGGTGGAGGTGGTGGTGTGTATCCTACAGCTTCGGCTCGGCGAGCGGCAGCGGTTGCTGCCATTTCGGCTGCAATTCAACAGCACCAGCAGCAGCAGCAGCACCATCATCATCACCAGCAGCAGCAGCACCCCGGTGATCGGCACCGGTCGGAGGTAAGGGTCTGGGAGCGGGTGGGGGGGGAACTCAGGCTGTGTGGACACTGAGGTAATGGGTGTGGACACTGAGGTAGTGGGTGTACAGCTCCCAGCCTCCCCAGCCTCCCGCTGTGACTGTCGTCGTCATAAGACGACCGCTGGTGCCGTGAGCAGCGTTGTCGCAGTCCGCATGGGGTGTTGATGGTGTGGCAACAAAGGCTGTTGTGTTTTTGGTTGGGACGAGCAACGGCTGTGTGAACTGAGGGCTGCTGCTCTGAGCTCTTGGGCCCTGTGGGCTCCTCCCGTCCCTGTTACATGTGCATGCAGGCCGCCGTTGGGGCCGGTGGGCATCCTGAAGGTCCTGAGGGCACTGCGACGGCGGCGTATGGCAGCGGAGCTGTCGGTCATCACCCGCGCCGAAACCAATACCAGGTGAGTACCATGTGACATTGACATGATGGGGCGCCATGAGGGTCCGTAGTGGAGCTTTATGTAGGCGGGGCGGGGCGGGGCGGGGCGGAGCGGGGCAGTACTCGGATGTCTTGGGTAGTTTACAAAGAACGGAGAGGGGGAGGGAGGATGAACGTATTACAGATGGTTGTTTTGCCGTTTCATGAAACCCCATACCCTTTATCTTGATGATACATGATATTAACACATATAACAACAACAACAACAACAACAACAACAACAACAACAACAATCAAGTGTTCGTTGTTCGTTGCTCGTGGTAGTTGAACAGCTGGCCTTCGAGGACCAGTGTGCGAGTACTCGCTTTGTGTTGGTCTTTTCTGTGCAACCGTGTCTCGGCTTTTGCGGTGTGTCGTCTCAGGCCCGTGGTCCCCCGTGTGTCCCTTGCCTTGCTGGCTGCGTGGGGCCCTGGTTTTTTGTTGAGTGTGTAGTGGAGCCCCCTGAGTAGAGCCCCTGCCCCCGGTGGTGTTTTCTTTTTGATCTTGTTTTGGCGGTCAAGAGGGACGAGAACGCGTGAATAGGCAGGCCAGGCGAAGTGGCGCCTTTCGTGCGGCTCTCGCATAGATCGGTTCGCAGTCTTCTGCGCCGCTGTGTTGCCTAGCCAGGGGCTGGGAGAGTGTCCCGGTTGGCGTGAGTGAGGGATCGAGGCGCGCGCGGAGGAACAGACGGACGTAGAGCCGCGCGCCCATCCCTGCGCTGTGTTTCGGCCCGGTCAGGGCCCCCGGTGCTCGTCCTTTATCGGGCGAGCCGCCCACAGTGTAACACCCCATCAACAACAACAACAACAACAACAACAACAACAACAACAACAACAACAATCAACCCGTCTGGCTGTGCTTTGTCGACACGGGTTGGGCCATTTGTGCATTTCGGTTTTGCGTTTCTTCCCTTGTTGAGGTCCCGACCCTCCCCATCCCATCCCATCCCATCCCATCCCACCCCGGGACGGGACGGGACGAAATGAGGATGCGTGTCTATGGGCATGTGTTGCACGTATGTGATATGTGTGTGGTGTGTGTGCTTCCCTTCCCTTTGCCAGGGCGCGGGGGGTGGCGGTGGTGGTGGTGGTGGTGGGCGTCGCTACCGTCTCACCGACTACGTGCCGGCCGGGGTGGTGGACATCGCGATGGGCCTAGACGACATCAACGACCTCATGGTGGGTCACGACTTGGAGTGTTGTAGGGGCCCTTCGCGCTGCGAAGCGTGGGCTGTGTATGTGATATATATGTATATACGTGTGTGCGTATGTGTGGTTCTGTTGGAATGGACACATGCCCCGGTCCGGTGGGCCGGCAGGGGCTCGTTCGTCGCTTACGGTCCATCGGCCTTTGGGCCTGTGCCGTGGAAGTGGTCTCACTTGGTCCTTACGTGGCGCTGCGTGTGCCCTGTTATGCGCGTGCAAGCACAATCATAACAGTGCAGTCGTGACCAACCTGCAGCGGGGGCAGCGACGGATCTCGAGGAGGACCTTCAGGGGCTTAAGCGACCAAGGAATGCCTTGGCCGCCTTGTGCCGCGCGAATGTGTTGGTTGGCGGATCCCGCTCCTCTCTGTTCGCACCTAGCGCGCATTACAGTGCTACAGTGCTAACGGGGTACATCCTATCCACGCAAGCATTTCAGCCCTAAGCGCACAGGAGGTGTTTGGACACACAGCCCACCCGGGCAGTTACGATGCGGGGGGGTGTACATGGCAGGGAGAACATGTCCGGTAAGGCAGGTGAATAGTTGGTGAAAAGCCCGGAAGGTCGTGTCACTCGTTTGGTTGGGTGCGTGGGTGCGTGGGTATCTCCCCCCGTGCAGTTGGAGCAGGCGATGTACGAGTCATTGGCGGCGGCTGCGGCAGCAAGCTCACCCCCGGCCGCGGCCGCGGCGGCGGTGGCGCCGACTGCCGGTGGTGACGACGCCTCCAGCGCACCTGGAGCCGCCGCGGTTGACGGTCCCAATGCAGGTTTGGATAACGACGCTGCCCTGGCGGAGGCGTTGGCGGCCAGCCTGAGCGGCGTTGGCGGTACGGATAACGCAGCTTTGGCAGAGCGCCAGTCGCCAGTGCCGCCAGCGGCGTCGCCGTGGCCGGCGGCAGCCGCCGGCGTTGGTGGTTCCCCGCCATCGGGTCGACCCGTGGGTCGTCCGGGTTCGCGGCAGACCAGCGTCAGGAGCGGGTGAGTGTTGCCGAGCTCGTGGGCCCTTTCCGTACCGAGGATACCCCTCCTCCCGCAGTCCGCACAATCTGGAACATGTGCTTTTTTCGCTTGGTGCGTGTGTGTACATACACACCCATGATTCTCCCCCTCCCTCCGTCTCTCTGCTCACTCGTTTAAAACGGCGTGGATGCGGGATGCGACCCTCCACGACGCCTCTTCATCCTCTACCCCGCGGGGCTGTGTAGGACCTGGTTGATTCCGTCCCCGTCTCTTCCCCCCCCGAACCCCCCCCACCAACTGGCCACCAGGCAGCTGACGGCTGCAGGTCAACCTCCGGGTGGCGGCATCAGCTCCTCGGTGTCTGCGCGCAGCATCGGCGGCGGCGGAAACAGAGGCGGCGGCGCTACTCCGGCCCCGCCGCCACCCCAGCAGCCCTCACCGTCTTCTTTGACACGCAGCGTACGTGCTAACGCTGTGTCATCGACCTCTGCAGCATTCGCTGCGATGACGCCGTCGCCCCCGGCGCTGGAGGGCAGTCGCACGCAGCAGCAGCAGCGGCGGCAGGCCGTCGGCGCAATCAACACGCCGCCGCGTGTTGCTCCTACCAGGCCGACAGCTCCGAGTCACCAGCCATCATTTCCAGGCCGTTTCTCCACAACGACTACAACTTCCACAACGACCACAATGTTATCCTCAACAGGTGGTCCTCAGGTCAAGGGGGGTGAGCACAGGGGGCTCGGCGACGGCAGGGGCCAGCTCAAGAAAGCAGCGGAAGTGGGGGAGGACGAAGAGGAGGACGGCGAGGCGCTGTTTAGCAGGCGCACCGGAGCTGTTGCGGCATTGGCGTCTCCGGTAGCGCCCCCTTGCTCGGGGCCCTCCTCGGCCTCCCGGCGGGCAGGAGCCGTGGAGTGCTCCGTGCAGGAAGAAGATGAGGCGAGGGAGGAGGCGCAGGAGGAGGAGGACGACGATGACGCGACGTCGGTGCCCGGCAAAGCTGACGCCGCTGCTGCTGCCGCGTCTGCCGTTGTGCTGCAGTTCCCCGGCACGACTTCGCAAGAGCAGGCAGGGCTTCTGGCCGCAGCGGCAGCGGCTGCTCCAGTTGGCGGAGCCTCGGGCGCTATTTGCGAAATGATTTCCTCTAGCGCCGGTGGCCCCACCCCGACAATGATATCGCCCGCGCAGTCGGACAGTCCCATGGGCGCGCTGGTCGCCCACGCGTCGGACCTGTCCATGACAGCAACCGGCAGCCCGGGGGGCCGTGGGGGAGAGCTGCTCGGCGGAGCTGCCGTGAGCGGCTGCGGCGGCGGCATCGGCGAGCAGCACGTGACCAATCCGTTGTACGATATCTGGTCGAATAGCAGCAGTGCGACGACTTGCAAGCACCCCTGCTTGGGTGGAACGGGGCCGGAGGAAGGGACTCGCCGCGGCGCCAGCACCGGCGGCGGCGCCGCCGCCGGCAGCAGCAGCACTGCTACTGCTGCAGCGGCGGGCCCTTCCGCTGCAGTCCTCGCCCACTGGGGTGTCAAGTGCGGCGGCAGCAGACAGTCGTCTTTGGGCTCCGAAGGTGGCGTGGCGGCAGGGCAACCTGTTGGGGTTCCAGCAGGGGAGCAGCAGCAAGAAGAGCCGAAATTACGTCCGTCTTCGGCTCTGGCCACATCGCCACTCGGCGACAGTGCTGGTGTGGCCTCCAACAGCCGCGTCACGCCGGCCGCCCAGGCGCAGCCGTCTTTGCGGCCGCGCGCTCTGGTCCTGGACGACGAGGGGCCTACGAGCCCTACAGCAGTTGTCGCCGTCCGCGATTCAGGGAAGCCGGCGTCGCCGCCAGCAACTACGCCCAGTCCCCACCTTGGTCTGCCCCCGCTGGGTTTGTCGCCTCCTCCCGCGCCTACTGCCGTCCAAAGCAACCCGCCGGCTGCCGAAACCTCACTTGCAGATGCCGCAGCGGCCGATGCCGCCTCCGCCACGACCGCAGTGACGATACAGACCCTGGCGGCGGAGCTTCTTCGCCACGGTAGCGGCGCGGCTACTGCTGCCGTGGCAGCGGCCGCGGGCTCTGCAGACGGCGGATCGTCGTCATCTCTCCAGGTGCTTGCGGTCGGCATGGTGTTTCAGGTTCCAGACAGCGCCGGCGCCGGCGCCGGCGGCTCCCAGCAGCGCCATCCTCCGCATGTACAGCAGCCGCCGAAGGGGCCGGCATGGGTGCAAAACCCGGATGGTAGCTTGCAGGTGCTCCTGCCTGCCGGGGGCGGCAACGGCGGTTGTGGCATCGCTGCTGTCGGCTCCGCTGCCGAAGTGCAAACGAAGCAAACAGCGCAGCACCGGCGTCCCGTCACCGATTCGAATGACATCATGTACTTGCCGTACACCGACTACGAGGTGCCGGAGCTCCAGCACCTGCCAGAGCTGGGACCGGTGGCGCTTGACGTGCCGCCGGACGCGGCGTACATCGCCGACGGCGGTAACCAACCCGCGCCGTTGGCGGTTGAGGGAAGGAGTCCGCCGGGCGAGGCGGAGGCTGTGGACGAGGCCTTGGTTCAGGAGTGCGAGACGACCGACGCAGATCTGAGGCGGCTGGTGGCGGAATACGACGCAGTTGTGGCGGCGGCTATTGCCTCCGGTGACCGGCTTGTCTGCGGCGGCGGTGGTAGCGCAGGCGGAGGCCAACTTCACCCGCAGAGCCACAACGGCGGTCAGTAAGGGCGCCATGAGTGCGAGTTGTCATTGCAGCGGTGCTCTAAGTGGCTTGGGGTTTATTGGTGCCGCAAGGAGTCCTCGATACCTTGAAAGAATGATTCCTTTAAAGAGAGTGATGCAGATCCAGATGATCCTATGGCCTGTGCACTCTTACTTGAAGGGAAGGGCAGGGGTGAATCTTGGATTGGCGCGGCCGGGGTACGGGGAGTCGAGGGTTGGGGGCCCTGCGGAGGTGCGTCGGGGAAAATGGGTTGGTTTGCAGAGGAGGGAGGCAAGGAACAGGGCCGCCCGCGTCCGTGTACCGTTCTGTCCGATACATCACCATCATGCACCGGGGTCGGAAAATTCCTGGCAGGAGCAATGTGACCACAACCGTCGTTGTGTGCACTGGCTTGGATTGCCGCCGTCGCCGACCGTTTACCAGATATAGAAGCTTTTACCATATAATGATGTCGCACAGGGCGAGGCCACTACGCGCACGAGGCAGGTCGTGCGTTTCGAATTGACATTCACAGACGAGTTGAAACCCTGTGCGTGAGTGTGATGTGATTTATCTGGCCCCTCGCATGCACATGTAGCTGGATTGGTCATAGGTGCAATGCGCGGGCATGCCTGTTGGGCAGGCCGGTAAGGATACGAGAGGCCTCGCTTGTGCTCCTTCATCCCCAGGGAGGAAGAGCGCAATATCAGTAGGCGGATCTCGTTGGAAGGTACTGACTGATGGACGGGTTCGTGGCATGCGTTGTTTAGTGTTTACAAGGCACGTGGCAAAGAGGGCAATCGGGGTCAGCAGGAGGCACTTTATGGGCAGGCTCCTCTCTTTCGCGCCTATTCCCTTCACAGCCCAGTGGTGATCAGTAACGCTGCACCTTCAATCCAACCGACATGTGGGCCCTGCTACTCGTTTTCTTTTCCCGGCTTTGTTTGCTTGTTGTGACGCATTCGGGCGTTGGCCAGCCCGGAGTTAAAAGGCAATGTCCGGCTACACGCTCTGCTTAGGAACGGGCAGTATTAGTGTCGTGCGTCCTCCTGAAACCGTCGAATTGACGGGCAGAAGCGACGGCCCTAAAGGTTCCTGGGTTACCTTATAACTGAGGTGTAGATTGGGATGCTCCGTTGTGCGCTTCACAAATTGGGCAGAGCGGCGGGCGGTGAGGCATGAGTTGCCTTGCTGTGGGTCCAAATCAGTGACCTGGCTGGGAACTGGAGGGGTTGGATAGCGGGGAGGGGCCCTAGGAGGAGGGGGATGTAAGGGAGTGGCATGGGTTGACCACCGCCTAGGGGGCCGGCGTACTACATGTGCACTATTGGGCCCAAAGCTGATTGGGCCTGTACAACCACAGACGTACGTATGGACTTGTTTGGCCATAGTGCGGGCTGGTGCGCGCGACATAATGTTGGTTGTTCGGGAAGGCGGTAGGCCATTCTCGGAGTTCGTTGTGTCCTATCCTGGTTAATCATCGTCGTTTTTAACGGGTGTGTAATTGTGTGCGTCCATACACAGCCATGCGTTTTCATGTAGGTGGCTTCATACGAGTGTGCGGCGCTGCCCGGGCACGTGCTAGTGTTCCTCCACTGCAAGCCATTCTGGGTGCCGTTGACTTCAACGTCACGTGTTACTGTGCGTACCATTGATAGTGTAAGTGAACATTTTCGTTGGTTTGGAAGCATTGCCTGCCTCAAATGCGTGGCGCAGGAATTGATTGAGCCGTGAGTGCTCTATTTCCAGGGGTGGCTCGGCTTTTGGGGCACGCGGGGCCTCACACGCTGATTGGCTGCGCCTGGCTGTATGTCTGGAAAACTTTCGTTATTTGTGCTGCGTTTTGTGCAAGGGAACAGCAGTGGCAATTGGAGCTACACGCGGTGGGCGACGCTGTGGCAGGATGAGGGGCTGCAAGCCTTAGGCTTAGCGCAAGAGGCGAAGGGCATGCGTATCATGGTACGGTACGAGCCCATATGTGTTTCCGTGAGAACCTTAGCCTATCCCCATTCTGCTACGGCATAGTCCAGGCTAAGCCGTAGGACATTAGTAATGGGCCTCGGGCGCTTTCCCGACGACTCCCATGATGGCATGTGATGCTGTCGGTCGTCCCTCTGTCAGAGTGCACGGTGTCAAAAGTCGACGGGGTGGAGGTCGGCTGGCAGCTGAAGGGGAACCGTGAAGAATGCCGTTCGCTTCCCTTGTGTCCGCATCGCTAAGTATAAATTCATTCTGTTACCTGCTGGAGAGATTAGTTTGCGTATGGTGACAGCATGGCACGTGGTTCCGTAACATGAGGGAAGCCGATGTTTCTTCATTATATAAGTCAAGACGGCAGAATGCCGGAAGTAGTGCGCAATGATGTTGGCATAAGGTGTAATAAAATAAATATTCATTTCCGCAGCGTTTACATGATCTTATTTGTACCAAATGGGTCGACGGAAATGCGTACCAAACCGTGTTTGACCCTTTTCCAGCAAAATCAAAACCATTGCCATCGTTTACCTAAATATGGCCGGTAGGTAAAAACCGGCATCATCGCATGTTGATCGTAAACGATAACCTGTTCCTCCACGTCGCTCGTTGCACCGTTCAAATCATGCCACTTTAACATTCTCACAAAACATAAATCCAAGCGTCTGCACGCCTTATCATGCAAACAGACAAATTACTGCAAAGGTCACCTGGAGCAAAGAACCGTACTTAAGCCAGGCTTCGACAGGTCAGTGCTAAGGCATGAGGCGCTCCATGGCCGCCTGTAACGTCGTCATGGCACCGTAGATAATGTCACATTCACACGTGGGCCGCAAACCCTGTCCATGTTATTAAGCTAGAGGCAATTAAAACCCGGTCAAAAGTTAAAGAAGAAAAAATAGTCAAACCCACTCAGGGATTCGGCCATCAGAACGTTTAGGCAACCTACAGCACGCGCTATCCGTCCACACCTGAATCAACAGCACCAACCAATGAACACCATGGCCACTGATGTGTCACTCTAGATACCGCCAAAATTGAATCCCCTACTGAGGACACGTACGCAACCCGCCCTGAGCACCTGCCTGCTCTTCGATGTCATGGTAACTTCCGAGTAACCAAACACCGCTGCCCTCTCAAATCTGCCCTCCACTCCAGTATGCGCGCGCGGCATTCGGGGTTTGCCAACACAGCACTTCTCTATAGAACACTACTCATCCTTGGGGCCCTCAGCCGCCATGCGGCGAAGCATCTTGGATGCGTGGGGACCCGTGTCCTCGACCTGCGAGCCGAAGGGCACAAGGTACGCGTAACTGTGTTGTTTACACCCGTCAAACTGCCACACCCCAAAATTATTGACGTCGTGCTGGTCTGACAGTCTGCATGATCATCAGGTCTACTTACCAGCTTCGTGAAGAACGACGCCGGGTTCTGCAGCAGCGTAGTCGGCGTTTCGAACTCCTTTAGCTGGCCCGCCGCCATGGCCAATATGCGGTCCGAAAAGATGATGGTATCTAGACGGTGGGCAATGGTTACTGTAGTACGCTCAGCGAAGGCCTTGCGGATGGTCTTCTGGATGAGCGCGTCAGTCTGCGGCGAGAGAGAGAACAGGGGCCGAACGGCAAAGACCATGAAAAGAAAAGGCGTTGCAAATGCACGCGGATAAATCGCTTCCACAATAACAAGCGCCTTCAGTTTCCTTCCATCGATACATGAAAAGAAATATACCTGCAAGTCCATAGCGGCCGTCGCCTCATCTAGCACCAAGATGCGGGTCGGTTTGAGCACGCAGCGCGCCATGCACACCAGTTGCTTCTGGCCCAGCGAAAAGTTGGAGCCGCCCTCCGCCACTGCGCTGTCCAGGCCACCCAGCTCCGTGACAGCATCTTTCAGGTGCACCTGCGGGACAGATGAAACGCAGCAGTGAAGTCAGGCGAACACCGATTACGTGACGCCATGGGTGAGCTACTAACCATGACCCAACGTGGGGCTCAGACCATCATCCATAGCCTTTGGGTCCTTAAAAAAGCCACAACGAGGCACAGCCACATGCCAAGCAAGCGCCAATCGGGTCGCATCTATCCGCTACTGCCTGGCGGCCGACTTACCAACTCCAACGCTCGCCACAGCTCTGAGTCCGGCAGCTCGCCGAACGGATCCAGGTTGGAGCGCACCGTGCCCTTGAACATGACCGGTTCTTGTGGAATGATGGCAATGCCGGCCCGAACCTGCAGGCCACACGAGGAGAGGAGGCAACTTGCGTAAGGTCGCGCTTATACTTTCTACTCCCTCCTTGCATTTTAGTTGGTCTCGCAGTTCCAGTGCTCATAAAGCATGTACACATATGGCCATATCATCGTATGCAAGCAATAATGAAACCCACCCACCTGCTGTAGCTTGATGGATGCAATGTTGACCCCATCAATAATGATACGTCCGTACGCCAGCTCGAACATGCGGAACAGCGCCATTAGCAAGGTAGTTTTGCCACTGCCGGTGCGTCCTACCACGCCGATCTTCTCCCCGTCGCGGATATGGAAGGACACATACTTCAGGGCCAGCGGGGCGCCAGGGTAGTAGCGCAAGCACACCTTCTCGAACCTGCCGCAAACGAGCCAAAGGCCATCCCACTACCTTTTTAACATGCTGTAAAGATGACGGGGTCATTCTTGTGCACCCAACGGCCCTACCTGATGTCTCCCTTGGTCGGCCAGCCCTTGGGCGCCTCTCCGTCGTTCATCACCTGCAAAATCACGAGCAGCAGTCAAGCGTGCGTCGACACACATGCATGCACCGCACCGCCAGCACCTGTCCCCAGCAGGTAACATGGGAACGATGTCTAAAGGAACGAAACCTGTCGATGAAGCTGCGAGCCGCCCGCCATGGGTAAGGTAAGAGGCTTTGAATCCGCAATCCCTACCTTAATCTCCACCATAGACGCGTTGGTGGTTCCATTTCCGTTACCGTTGGCAAGGTCGTTAAGGTTCCCATTACTGGCACCCGGCAGTGCGGCTGGTGCTATGTCGTTCTCCTGCGGGTGTGCAAAAATATTCCACCGAAAGCAAAGAATCTCTGCAAGTCCGACAATCCACTTAGGGCAAATTACACCACGGGGAAGTTACCTAGCAGAGCTTGATGATGGCGGAGCTAAACAGCACTGTGCCAGCCAGCGAATAAAAAACCTGGTAGCTGCGACACACCTGTGGCACGTTGACGATGAAGGTCGCCACGCGCTCAACAGCATCCCACATGGACACGGTGTCGGCAGCACCGCGAACCACCCACGTGAAGAAGACCAGGACCTGGATGGTGTTGGAGATTGCCAGACCAACTGCCGCGGCACCCACTTGCTCCTTGTACGCCACGGACAGCAAGCAGGTGGCGACCACCATGATCGCTCCGTAGAAGTCGCACCTGCACGCAAATGAAACCAGGCATGACAGCAAGGGAAAGCGGTCAATATGAGGACCTCACAATTACTACCTTTGCAACGCAACAATAGATGAACTTGGAATAACCTAACACAGTGGTAAAAGGCACCAACCTATGGAAAGGACTACTAGGGCAAACAGTCATGACCATGTCATGGCCGTTCGGAGTTTCAAAACATGTCATTGTAAAGTCGTGCACAACTCGGGTCTACACTGCCCGACCCGGGAAGGTCTTGCTGAGTGAGCTTCCCTCGCACTGCTCGGCGACCAACTTGGCCTCAAAGCCCCCCAACCAGATGAAGTGCTCAACCTACCAGAAAGCCAGCCAGAGGTGGCACTGCTCTGTGTTGAACAGAGCCAGGTGGTGCACGTTGATGCGACGGATGTTTTCCTGGCAGCAAGCGGATGGATGACGGGACCAAGGGTAACAATACTTAACGCATAGAAGGCATCCACCATCCTTTCGACCTGTCCACACCAATCCTTTCATATCGAGGCTCGCCCGAGTGCTTACACCTTTCATACACCTTTAAGGAAAGGCGGGGTACGGTCTGCCGAGGTCTCGGCCAACCCACCTGCACGAAGTAATTCTCGGCGTCGAAGGCCTTGATAACCTCCATGCCCTGCAGACTCTCGTCCACGTGAACGAAAACCATGGAGGCCGTCTCGCCAGCCCAGCGCTGCAACAAATGTTGGTACGCCGGAAAAGGTTGACAAGAAATTGAAACCGCGTTTAGGATATGCATTGACAGCTCAGGGTCAGTTCACGAAGCCTCAAGAGATAACAATAAAAGATCTGCGCTCTATCCTTCAGATAGCAAACAACACTGAGTTAGAAACTTCGCCCACCTTCAGTATAGTCGCCGCAGGCAGGTATAACTGTTGCATCATGGCGAAAGCCAAGAACAACGCAGCCGTCAGCGCAGCATAGATGTACAGCGACGCGGTCACGATGCCCAGAGACGTTAACAGAATCATCAGGTAGATCAGAGACATGTGCAGCGTGTCTGCAAAGAAACGTGTGGCATTGGGCAGCAAAGAGATCACACAACAGGTGTGATTTCTTGAGAACAGTCCGACAGAGCAGATCCAGGGAATCTCAATAGACACACCAAAGAGGGGAGAACCCAGGGTCAAGCGTAGCCCGCTGCTGCCACACGAGGCTTTACGTCCAAGGCTGTCGGACACTTTAATGGCCCGCATGCATTAAACAGGAAATACAAATACGTATCACACCACACGAATCCTTACCTGGAAGCGTCTCATCAAGGGTGTCTTGGTCTTTCGCAAACGCGTTCAAGATGTCGCCCACCGGTGTACGCAGGAAGAAGAGCAATGGAGCGCGCAGCACCCGGTAAAAGAGCTTGTTGTGCAGACGGGTGGAGCCGTGCAAGTGCCAGAAGGAGAAGACACCGTCACGAGTCAGCAAGCAGAGGACGAAGAGCATTACGAACGCGAAGTAGCCCAGAATGTAAACCTGTAAGGAATTCGTGACGGGGGTCGGATTTAGGATGCGAGAGCAGCGCACGTATTCGTAGGACAAGTGAAACGCAGATTTTAAACGAGCTCCTGCGTACAAGCAATACATATTCGAGTCCGGGTATTCACTAGGATTGGGGGCCCAAATCAAAGGGCAGCTGACATGAAAAACAACGCCACAACAGTAAATCAGTGTCGCATACACAACCAGACTTGGCCGCACGACGGTGCAACCCGAACGGGATGACCGTGCGCCGTGCGCATGCCAGTCATCGCGCACCTCGTTGGCCTTCTGCTTGGAGTCAAACTTAGGATTGAAGTTGCGGACAGCCTTGTAGGTCCCATCGGGGTAGAAGCCGAAGCGATCCGGCTCGGCCCACCAGCGGATCCACGTGTCGGAAAGAATGCGGACCTACAGGCCATGACAAATACAAGTATGAAGGTAACCACAGAAGGCTTCGACGTGACCCTGCCCACCACTGGTCCTGGCTCCATGCATTCATGACTCACTGCACACCCACCGTCTGCGTGAGCATGAAGACGCAGATCGAAAAGATGAACAAAATCGTGCCGCCCGCCTTTACGTACACCTTGAACGACTGGGCAACAGAAACTCGTCGCGGCACGCCGTTGAAAAGCGCCGCAATCTCCTCGGGAGTTTCCTCCAACGCGGCTGCGTTATGCTCCTCACTCACACGTCCCAGGACCCTCGATCCGCTGCGGCGCTCCCCAGAGCGACGCTCGTGCGACTTTGCTTCTTCCTCATGCTTCGCTGCCTCCTGCGTGTCCCGAGAAATGCAGTGTGAAATGTCACTCGACTTGGACATGACTCAAGACGGAAAGGGGCAAGGGCAAGGAGAAAAACACTATCCGCTTTCCTGCCTCCAAGTCCCTAATGCAACAAAAAGTGCTGATATCCTCGCCTTGTTCCTTATTCCGTGGTCTTGGTTTGACCTGGACAGGTGTATCGTCTGGTCTAAACGTCGCTGGCGTCTTCTTATCGCGAGGTTGCCTGCTTTGTCGGAGGAGATTAGCTCGGCTTGAAGGAAAGCTAGGCTAAGGAGAGACCAAGTCGCTTCGTGCCTCAGGCCACCACCCACTCCACGACTGACTCCCGTGTCAAACGGTATGGAAGATGGCCGAATCCGAAGATACAATACAACCTAAAGAACTTCCAACACACGCAGGGACGCGGAAGGCCTGTCATCCATGTCAACCCTCGATGTCAATCCCATATCATTCGCACTTCAACTATTCTCCCCTCCAAGCACACAAATGTGCTGCCAGGACAGAGCCTCAACCTTCAGCGTATCTGGCAAGCTCTGAGCCACGCACCTCCTGGGCGAGCTTGTTGAGCGAATCCGACACCGAGTCAGAAGGTCGAATGCCGGCCTTGCTGGAACGCTGGAACGACTTTCGCCCTTCAGCGCCGCTGCCCTCCTTGTGCTTCCAGGAATCTGACAAGTTGGCGTGCGGGTGCGCGTGCCCATGGGACACTGCTTGCGAATCCGCATGGGAATGGTGGTCACCGGCAGTTTCCTTGCCATTGCCCGTGACGGCGTGCGCGCCATCCTCCTTATTCGCGCTGGCCGGCTTCTGCACGCCACTCTCACCGGCCTCCACGGTCGCGAATAGCAGGTGGTCGACGGGCAGATGGCGGTTGAGCGCCTCGGGGTCATAGGGACCGAAGTACAGAGACTTGCCGCCGTCCGTAATGCAGATGTTCGTGACCTGCAATAGGGTGGCACGAGATGAGATAGCAAGTGCCAGGAAAGAAACATTCAGCATACATGACTTCGTACTTTCTGATTAATGCCTGCTTCAAGGCAAAAGGAGGTAGCTGCGCCAAGCATTCATAGCAAGACACACCGGCGGCGATCTTCAGCTGGGCATAACCTCGACCGGCCCCCTGCCGCGTACCTCAGGCAGCAGCTCAAGCTGGTGGGTAATCCAAATAACCGCCTTGTCCTTGAAAATGCCCTTAATACACTTGTCAAATATGTGACGAGCGGTATGCTGGTCCACGGCGCTGCGTAATTAAACAAGCGCAGTACGTTAGGGGGAGGGTCATGTGGTAAGGGAAAGGTTTTGAAAGTGCTAAAAGCCATAGGAGATCGATTCAATAATCCTGCACCCCTCCTGCCGGACCTGAGCGGGTTGTCCAACAAAATGAGGTCACAGTCGTGGTAGGCTGCCCTTGCCAAGCACACGCGCTGCCGCTGGCCGCCCGAAAGGTTGATGCCGCGCTCGCCTGCCATAGTCTGGTCACCCTTGGGTAGGATCTGAAGGTCCAGCTCCAGAGCACATGCGTGAATGACCTGCAGGTAACATGGAACAGCCGCCGAGCCATGCATCTCACACACGAGCACCGGACTACCATCTACCCACGCCAAGAAGTGGATACAATTTCAATCTGTTTGGCTGCGAAGCTCCTTGGCTTATCCAAATGACTGCGAAGAAACTCATCCTTACACACACCTTTTTGTATTTCTCCTCGTCGAAAGGCAGTCCAAAAATGATGTTGTCCTTCAGCGTAAGGTTTTGCACCCAGGGGGTTTGCGGAACATATGCCATGGAGCCGCCCACACACAGGACGCCACTCTCCAAAGTCATGTGGTTCAGGATGGCTTGAAAGATGGAGGATTTGCCTGCACGGATACGTGATTCCAAGGCGGGATGGCTGGCTTACGCGAAACGTGGTCTAACGAAGGCAAAGCTTAGGATAGACACCAAAACCATGACCTTCACAAGCATAGCAGTGGGAGAGTGATTAAGTACAGACGTGCCCATTCTTTAGCCCGCCGGTCATGAATCGCCGTTGTTACTAAGCCCCAACAATCCCAAACTTCGACATTGTGAACACTTCGTTGCGGCCATATGGGCCAGACTGCGCCTGTCCCTTCGCCTACATGGAAGCCTGCCCCTTGCAGCCCCTCCTGTGGCACAACAGACACCGCACGCACGAGCAAATCCTTACCACTGCCAACGCGGCCGACAACTGCCACCACCTCTCCGCTCTTGACACTAAAGTTCGGAATTTGCAGGCGGAAGTCCTCCTTGCTACCAGGATATGACAAGACGGCATTCTCCTGCAATATTTAATGGATTTTATCTGTTTATATCTTCAAGAGTCACCAAAATTTCCGTGTTCCGCAGGGCATTATGCAGATGCGATGGAAGCATCAGTGATTCTAAATTGTTGTCCTAAAAAGTTCGCCCGCCGCCTACGCGTGCCTCGACGCCCCTGCGAAACGACAATGACTTACGAACTTGGCCTCGACATCCTTGCTCTTAGGGGGATCATCGAACTCATCCAGCAGTAAATATTTCTCCAAACGGTTTAAGGAGGCAATAGCTTCTGCAGAATGCACGCATGGTTGCCGCAGGGAATGCATGTAAGAGCAGCTACGCCACGTGAAATGGAAGGCATCAAAAAAGCGGCATTATTTGAGGTCCAGACCTATGACTGTAGTTGCCCGCCATATCTGCGGAGAATAAAGTGGATCACAAAATCTATACACATGCCCAATCCCCGTGGACCCCGAACTTATAAAACCCCTGTATGAAATTCTAGTCGATGCACGCAATAGCCCTTCACAATCAAAATAACCCTTTACCCTTTGCAAGTACTCTGCACCTCGTAGCAAGGCACTGAACAACCGTCTAACGTCGGCTCTTACGTAGTCCCGCTAATACAGGTCCGTAGATACAGCGACTATCCTAAAGCTTCTTTTCCCTTGTTCAAACTACACGATGGCTCCCTACAGGTGCATTTCCCATTAGGAAAGCCTCATGCCGTCTCCCCACCTGAAGACCCGCGCAATGCCTTAGGCAGCACCACCAAAGGAAAGCGCAGGGTGTTGAAGAGCGACAGCACCGTAAAGGCGAACGTCGAATCAAACGGCCCTTTGTTAAATACGTAGGTTGCATAGATCACCAGCGCAATCAGTGGAGGCACCGCGAACACCACGCACAAGTTGATGGTTTTCACCACAGCGGTGCGGGACATGAGGCTGATCTCCTCTGCACGTACCTGCAGGAGTCATCCAGGGTCAATAACACAGGATGCTGACACATAACTGTTTATCAGGTAACGCAGAACGTCATTTGCAACTGCCTGCGCGCTAGGGTATGCAGAATGGGCAACCTAATTAGCATACCGTAAACCAGCGGGGTGGCCGCCAACAGTGCGCCAGTCAGCTATACGGTGAAACAAAATAAAAACTCGCAATCAGCACCCTATAGTGGAATCCACATGAGGTGAGCGGGAAAGGGACGGTAGGTGCAAAGGGAAACAATTTCTGTGGATGCAGCCCCTCACTACCCATCAGTGTGATACGCCTAGAAAGTATACATGGGTATTGCACAATAATTCAGATAGTTATACTTGTCCATAGACGCATACGTCCAACACTTACGTCCGACACTTGTTTGGCAAAGGACTTCTCCCAGACGTAGAACTTCACCAGCTTAATAGCCAGCAGAACTTCGTGCATGCGCTGAACTCGCGCATCAGAGACCTCTACGGTTTCAAGCTTAAAAGACGCAATGCGGTAGCCCAAATAGTACTGAAGCGGCAACACGAAGACCACTACACCCAGGGCTGGTAGGCCGTATGTACCGTTCGTTAGGTACAGCAGCAGCGCAATAATAGCGCAAGCCTCCAGCGGAGCGGTCCAAACATTCTGTAAATGAAGAACTCCTTCGTAGAGTTTTGCGCAATCGGTGGCGACCAGGGAGACGACGTTCTCCTCGTGCACGGAATGAATTTTAAACGTCTTCCGATAAACAGCCGCCATAAGAGCTGCGCGAATTTTTATTCCAGCGCGAACGCATTCATCTCCCATGCGCTGCAGCGCGATGCCGACGAGAATGGAGTCTAGAAAGAAGGCGCAAGATAGAATCCAGCCAACACCCTTGTTAGGGATATCCGCCTGATTGTATAAATTGGGATTGCGCTTAATAGGGGTTACAAACTGAACGAGAGAACGAACGAAGTAAAAGGCACCCAGGAGGACGAAGACGCTCCAGGTAATTTTCCACGCAGCCGCGACTAACACTTCAGTCCCGAAAGAATTCCGCAGCGCACGGGAAAGTGATGGCTTCTTCTTCGGGTCTCCGCTGCTGCGAAGCTCCAACTCCTTCGCCCATGCCACATCGAAGCGGCATGCCGCTGCCTCTGCCGCTTGGTCCGCTGGCATACGCAGCTCATCCTGCGTGATTGTGCCCTTACGGCCCTTTGCCACCACAGCATAAACCCAGCTTAAAAAAAGGCGTTCGATAAAACTGTCATTTCTAATGTGTCCGTTGCCAAGGCTGGCTTTATCATACTTCGTCAAAGCCCCCATGATTCACACACCGCGGCGCCTTTAGCAGGCCCCTCGCCGCTGGGGCTAAACCTTTGGAAGTAAAACGAACGACCTAGGGTTCAGCTATGGTCCGAACAACGTTGTGGCGAACCGTCACAACCTGAAAGCCAGCTCGCAGTCAACCCTAGAGCTTCAAGATTTAGGAGAACGAGGCTAAAATGGGTAGGTAAAATGACTAATATGAACAGTGTGAGACGGGAGATCAAATCTCTGCATGGTGCCAACTTGCGGATGATTGCTCGCGGCTTCTACTGCTCCGAAACCGGCTGCTTTCCTTGTCCCTACCACCATAAGTTCTAGTAGCTGATTTGACCAACGACACCAGTGTCCATGCCAATGTAAGCAGCTGCGTGAAGGCATTTGAGCCTTTCACAGCACTGTATTCCTGCTGCAAAATGCGAAAAAATCCTGCTGCAAAGCCACCTACGGTCCTGCAATTTGTAAGCCGCCGGGTACGCCACACTGAGATTTTTGCGCGCTCTTAAAATCCGATTCTCCGTTCCTTAGGAAAGTTATTGATTCGCACTAGAGCAAAGAATAATTAGTTATGGCACCATTCAGTGTTGGCCCCTATCGCAAGGTGGTTGGATAATGTAGCACCCCATGACTGTGACCTTGGATGAACGACAAAAGCATCTCATAGTTTCGCATCAGCTCTGTCCCCACGGAACCTTTGCATCACCTGCATCCCGCACCTCGAACCGACTGCAATGTACCCCCCGTGCCAAGCGGTAGGCGCTTCATCAACTGGGTCAATTCGCAGCCCCAATGCGTCATTCCAATACAATGACTACTAACATGGACGGCCGAGGGTGCTACCCATTTGTGTTGACTCGCTTCCTAGCCCACTCTAGCCCGTACCTGACGCACCACTCACTTCTTAGCCCTAGCATAGGGCCTTCTGAGATGTGATTTGTAAGTCTCCTGTGTGCGTATTCGGCCGCGAAATCTGCACGCACTTCTACAGTTTTGAGGCGTCCCGCTGCCAACGATGCATAAAATTCTCCAACACTTCACTTGCCTCAAGCACCGAAATCCCGTTTCCTTGTAAAGGGGGTAGGGGAGAGGAAAGCTCGAGCCGGTAGAAAAGCCATGGAAGCCATTCACAACCTAGTTTCCCGGCCCCTCGGTGCGTTTGCGGCACGTGGAGGCTTTGCTCAGCTTCGTTACACACCGAGAGGGGAATAAAACCATCGATAATCAGCTGCTAAGCATGCGGCAATTGGAGCCTGGCGTATGGTGTAAAAAGGAGTGTGGAGTTCTGGGGCAGCTAGTGCTGAGGCTGACTGCGGCTGTTTGCAGGTGTATTGCCTACCAATTGCTTGCTATCATGGGGCGACAGAAAAAAGTTTATTCAGGGGCATTTGCCATTGCATGTCAAGGACCGCCACAGACGAAGAGCAACCACGTGCTATATTGTCCCAGGTCTCGCCACGCACAGGTGCATGGTGCGGTGCGTAAATCTGATATCAGGGCGTAACCTGAGTACATATGCCTTCAAGCAGTTTATAATACATTATTTCCATCCTTTCAATGTTAGGCGCGGTAGCTACAGCTCTCTCCTCTGAGCCTCTGTTTTGATGCATTCGAGAGCGGAGGTGAGCTACTGTAGTAGCCGGTGCACTGTACGGCACCATGAACAACTACAAATACGCGCTAACCTTGACTACCAGAATCTCGAGAGGCCTTTTCAGCGGCCAGCTATTACAGCTATACCCTGGATGGGAGCGAGAGCGATTGCGAGCGAAGCGTTCCCGTAGGTGCATAAAGCTCGGCGCCTTCGCCGGTTAAGTTTACTCTGTGTTACCAAGGCGTTGCGGAGGAAGCTCTCTCACCACGTCATTTACAAACCATTTTATATGCTGTACATGTCGTCACCATTGTCATTGCCGTACATACCGGACGCCCTTGAACTGCGCCCTTCAATCACTCGGTTGTTTGCAGAACAAAAGCGACCAGAAAGCCAAAACACGCGATGTTGTTGGGCAACCTAAAAGGGTTGCGTGGCCTGTCGCCTGTGACAAGGCTATTATATATTATATATTATATATTTGAACAGGAGCCGCCAAAAACCTGTGGCAATGCCATTCAAGTTTGGTGTGATTGAGAGTGCAGATCCGAAACCGATTTCCAATTGCAAAATAACGATTTGCACGCTCTGAAAAAAGCATGTGGCACTTAAATCGAAACCCGAGAACATATCTGAAACCCAGATGCGCGCGAATGGCGTACACCTGGGCCGATAAGACCAAAAAGCCGGATGGCGTTAAGGGGTACTTGCAGGCCTGATTGCAACAACCAAACTCATGCTGACAACGCGCAACAACTGCTGCGAGGCGTGCAGCTGCCCGCTCATGCCGCCGCAGTACGTCGCAGCAAACACACCATTTCCGAGCGAGGGCCAGGGTCATTACGCGCACCTGGGACAACGGTTTTATACTAAGGCCCACTTCGTCAAATTCCGCAGCTTCCAATAAAGCAGCGAAAACTTACATCCCTCAGTTCCAAGTCTTCCCATATCTCAATAGCTTCATATCGTGCATTGCTGCAATATGTAGACGTTGCTTTTGCGACCACCTGGAAATCGCGACCTGCCACCGAGGCACCTCACCCAACACACTTTTCCCCCCACGGCGACGCGGCGTTGCGATGGCTCGTCGGTGTCCATTACGCTCATATCCTCACGTGTGCCAGCCCTTTCCGCCAAAGCCAGTCCATTTCAATCAGCCTGCCTGTACCTACAAACGACTAGATGCACTCGCGACGCAACGCAGCTACACAGCGCACAAAAACGACTCCTTCATATGAGGTGGTTGCGTTCGGATCCGAACGCCGTCTCTCCCGCCTCGTCACAGACCACTGGACATGCCCGCTCCATCAGGCTCTCCGTTGCGCCTGCCCTGTTCAACATGATTCTGCCGCCCCTTTCTCGCCCCCCTCCTGCCCTTTCTCTTCCCGGCTCCTGCAGATAACTGCAGGTGAAGGTCTCAAATTCAGAGGCTGTCCTGGAACGACGGACAGGACATTGTCAAGACCAGACCAGTTCACCGCGTCAAGTATATCCGGCAAAATTTGAACCAAGACGACCCATAGACAGGATTCCATCGCCTGCATCCAGCTGGAAAGATTGCATCATCCTGAGCCTTACCCCTTCCTCTTCCCTTTAAACGACCGACAGACGGCCGCAGACGGCCCATCCCGCCCGCACCAATACCCGACATAACACACTCAACAACCAACACAGAAACACTTAGCGGCCGAGACGCAGCTCACCACAATCGCACTGACATTCGCAAGGACCGGACTACCGGGGGCCATCCCAACGCGGAAGTGGGGGAAGAGAAGAGAGGAGGTCTGACCCGCGGGTCGCTCACAGCGCAGGGACGTTGGTGTGCACGTCGGCCGACGGGTAGATCATACCCACGGGCGGGTTGGTCAGCATTGACCTGCACGGTGGAGTGTGGTGTGGTGTTACAGGGCGCATGTGTGTGCGCGCGCGTACGTGCGTGTTTGTTTCAGTGAATTGACGAGGGCGGCACAAGGGCTGTGTGATCGGTCTGTATTTTATTTGATTTGTCCCGGAGTGCTGAACACATACAGGTAAGGTTTAAACTCTGTCGAACGTAAGCGGAGCCCCTTCCAAGACACATAACACAAAATACATACATATACATGCACACGGTAATGACAATCCTGAGCGACCTCAGTCATGCGTCCTTCAAAAACACGCGCACCAGGTTTTCCCGTCCCTGCCCCCTGATCCCCTGCCACCCTACCGCCACCACCACTCGCTCCCTATCCCCCGTTCCCCCCCGCACCTGAGCCCCGCCTCCAGCTTCTCCTTGTTAGTCCCCGTCTGTGTGTACACGGGCTGGCCGTCCTTCAGAGTGATGAAGCACGGCGTGGAACGGATCTGCGCAGGCAGGAAGGTGGAAGGCAGGAGTCATTCACGAAACATTCACACAGGCCGCGTCTTTCCAGCCAAAGCAAGGCGGGGAACATCACAGACTCAACAGGCAAGCGAGTAAAACATCTCCTAAAGCCTGGAACGCACAGAATGCGCTCGTCCACAAGGAGAAAGGGCCCATATGGGGTCTACTGTCCCCTGCCCGCCACCACTTTTTATGCTTGCGCCTGCCGAACGAGTCTATATCTCCAGTGCCGTCAGGTCGCTGGATGCGCTGGGGAGTGTAAGCAGTTACCTAACAGGTAATGAGCAATTCCTCTGCTTCATAATTCCTCTGTAATCAGGTCGGGATCATGGTTTGGTAATTCTCCGGTGCCGTACAGTATACGACAGCAATCTTCCCCTCTCTTCCCTCCTTCCGCCCAACCGCACACAAATACTTCGGTACAGTTAATTCGTGCACCCACTTCGGCTTGTTCTCGTATTCGCGACTCAGGTCATCAAAAAACGCAAACACACCGCTCAACTAACAAACCACTACCTGGTAGCGGTCCTTGAAGATGTTCTTGGTCTGCTTGTTGGCGTTACCAAACAGCTTTACGAACACAATGTGGTTTTTGTAGTGCTCGGCCAGCCTCTGTGGAGAGATGGACGGATGATTGGCAGGTTAAGAGATATGGATAACCGGTAGGTAAGTGGTGGACATGGCCCAAGAATGCATGGTCCACACAACGCAGGTCCCCTCCCCCAACGGAGAAGGTTCTTGCGAAGCAGGCTTGCAGGAGTAGGAGGAGAAATGAGGATGTGAGCGAGCGGAGTAGTAGGGTTGGAGGAGGAGCGTATGGGCGGAAAAGAGGACTACTAGACGTAGTGAAGTGGAATGAAGTGAAGACAGGTGAAACGGACATCAAAACATCATCATCTTGCACAGCTCAAAGGTCAGTATTGCGGGAGAGCTCTCTTGCCAGATATGAATCCACATGCCCATGCCCACAAAGGCCCACAAAGGCCCACCTGCACCGGCCGCTGCATGCCCTTGCACGGCCTGCACCAGGTCAGCGCCGCGAACACGACCACCAGCTTGTTGGGGTTGGCGGCGATGATCTCGTCAAGCTCCTGCTCACTAAAGATGAGTGTCATGTCGCCCTCGACCGCCTGGTGTTGCAGAAGGCAACGAGTGGAGAGACAGAGAGATTTAAGGGTACCCGAAGACGCAGCGGTCGTGACGGTGGCGTTAGGTGGTACGGGGATAGGGGTATATGTGGGTGGGTTAAGGGGTGCAGGGGGAAGTAATTTATTTGCAGTCAAGTCAAAGCAACAGATGCCGGCTCCATGTGCGGGTGGAAAGACCTAGAGGGGTATTGAGCTCCCTGCCAGGCGGGCCGACGGGCGTGTAATGCAGCCATGCGTGTGTGTTTTTTAGCGGGGTTGAGGTGCATGGGGTGGGGAGAGTGCAAGAGGCACGTGCTATGTGAATGCGAACAGGATGCCGGCAGCCAAGGGAGGATAGCAGCATTACGAGCAAGGCAGTATACATCCAGCTGAACACCTGACGTGCATGGGTCCATGGAATGGGCTGCTGCAGGTGTTTTTTTCCCCGGTCCATGGGATGGGCTGCTGCAAAGGGGGGGGGGGGTCCCTCGGGTTTGTCGCTCCCTGCCGGGCCTATCCGGCTATCTTCCCCACATTCTTTTGAAGCCCCCCTTCCACTCAAGGACCGCCTTGAAATATCTCCCCACCACCACCACCTTTCCGCGAGCCCCTTCCCGAAGCCCTCCGTGGACAAAGGTGCCCTAGAGTCATTTGCCCCGGCGCTCCCACTCACCTCAATGACGGATCCCGACCCGGGCGCGTCGTTGTTCGTCATGTAGGCGCTCATGGCCTTCAGGTCCAGCAGGCTGTTACGGAACATGAGCAGGAACTCGTTAAACTCAATCTGGCCGCTGTCGTCCTTGTCGTATTCCTTTCGTGCGGCGTACAATGGAAGTTTTCCGTAAATCGTTAGCAGGAAACGTCTGTTCCACGCGCGTGGGTCTGTTCGTGTGTTTCAACAAGTTTTCGTATGTGTGTGTTATACTTTGTATATGTGCATGTTTTAGCCCCTCAACAAAATGTCCTGTATTCCATGCCCACACCACCATCCTTACATCCCCACCTACACAAGCAACAGTCACGAATGCACCGTGTCCGTGGCTGTGGGACGCTGAGGTGAGTGTATTGTCGTACTCTTCACCACCTCCACCAGCTTCTCCTCCCCTATCTCTCCTTAAATGTATCCTCCTACCTATTTCCCCACCCGCCCTCCTCTCCTCAGCAGAACAAAGTAAAAAAATGATACAACAAGTATGTACACCCTTCTCCTCGCCCTCCCTGTTTCTCAACCCTCCTCCCCCACGCAAGCTCTCTGCGCTGCACGTGCTTCCCCTCCCTTTTCCCCTCCCTTTTGCCTTCCTCCCCCCCCCTGCCCTGGCAGCAGTTCACTCGTGTGTGGTTCGTCTTTTCCCCCTCCCCCCCCACCTGCATGAGATCCACCAGCTTCTCCGGGCTGACGGGGTTACCCAGCTTGGCAAACAGCTGACCCAGCTCGGTAGCACCTGCGGGCGGTGCGGGAGATAGCCGCGGCATACCTTGCGTAAACATTCAAGATGTATGTATTCAAGAGGAGAACGTGTGTGGTTGCGGGTGGTCGTGTTCGGGTGTGTTCGGGGTGTTAAAAGGAAAAGGATTGGAAACGGATAGCACTGAACAGTTATAGTTGTGGAAAAGATAGTAGTAGTAGGGGGGTATATAACAGCGAGCGAGCCCCAGACCCCAAGTAAAAGGCGATAGGTGCGGGAGAGATCAGAGGATAGGAAATCCTGAAGGACGACCTGGACTCAAGCGCACTACTACGCCGCTATGAAATCACGACGTCTCTGTTTGTGAGGAGTGTTTCGTGGGGTGGAGTGAGGAGGTGGGAGGGGCAACCTACGTCTTCTACGACATGTGCTCACACCAGAAGCTACGCAGCGGACAGCACCCAGCCTCTCCATATGCTACGGGTAACTCTTGCCCAAGTTTTTCCCGAGGTGTAGCGCCATTCTTAGGTGCATGTCACCGGTACACTTTTATCCCCCATATAAGCCCCCACCGCGCCGTGGGGCAGGAAAGTTCCGAAATGACAAACAGTGCGTGATTGCTGTTTCGGACTTCACCGGCAGTTTTGGATAGTTACCTCTTACGTCTCACTTAACACACACACACCACCCACCCCCCCACACACGCCACTACGTGTCGCTGGACTACGGAGCTCTCTTCAGTAAGGTTATTCGTGTATCAACATTGGCATTTCCCTCAGATCAGGAAAATGCCCGCCAGCCCACCCCCCCCCACACACCCCTCACCTCCCCCTGGACCCCCCCACCCTCCCCCTTCAGCCCGAGACCCACCGATGGTCCCATTGCCGCTCTTGTCCACCGCCTTGAACGCCGACTCGTACTCCGACAAGGCGCCCTCCAGGAGAATGCCGTCGTACGCCTGCCAACCGGCCGTACAAAGCAAGAGGAAATGAACACGGCTGGCGTTTCCCCTGGTAAAAACAACGCCGCCTACTCGGATCGGATCTAGGATTAATAACCACCACCAACCCAAACCCGAACTATTGAAGGTAAGCTCCAGCACCAGCCAATTCCCTTCATTATAAACGGCGTCATCAAGTTTAACAGTGCTTATGCCTTAAGCTTGATGCCATAGGATGCTGTAGTATTCCGGCATGGTGTTCCGGAACCCCGTAAAACAAGCCAGCGAACCCAAAATATGCTGGCCGCAAGGAGTGTGAACATGGAAGAAACGTAGCGAGCTAGCTGTCACTAGGTAACTTCGCCACCTTCACACACTTCACAATCAATCCTAACACCTTCACACACTCCGAAAATCTTAATGCCAGGGCCAACAGGAAATCCACTCACAATCTGCTTAAACTCCTCGAAGGAGATGACGCCGTCCTTGTTGGTGTCGTACGTTTGCATCACGGCATCGAGCTCCTCCTCAGGGAGCCAGTGCTGGGGGTTTGGGAGGGGGTTGGGGAGGGAGTTGGAAGGTCGGGGGGGTTGAGAGGGGTCAAAGACGAACCACGAACGAGTGAAGCTGCTACCAGGGCAAGAGTGTACCAGACGTAGAACTGACCAGGGGAGTTGGGAGGGGGTTGGGGAGGGGGTTGGGGAGGGGGTTGGGGAGGGGGTTGGGGAGGGGGTGGGGAGGGAAGTTGGAAGGTCGAGAGGGGGGTTGGGAGGGAGGTTGGGAGGGAGGTTGGGAGGGAGAGGGGTCCAGTTAAGATCATTACGACGCAGGAAGAATCGGGTCAACTGCCGGCACAGGTGATGTGTAGGGTCGGGAGGGTTCTGAAAAGGAGGTGAAACACGAGCCCCGCCATAATCAGTGACCTCTGAGCTTGTGAAACGGGAAGCAGAGGATTGAAATTGTCATGGAATTAATTTAAAACATAGAAATACAGATATCAACAGCTGTGGTCACTGGGGGTGTTGCATGTTAAGGTAATCAGGGAGTTCCACGGGATGCGGGTAGGGTTGGGGGAGAAAGGGAATCGGCGTTGTGTGTAGACACAGCCGGCGGCTGTCAGCCGCTGTCACGGTAAAAGCTACAAGCGTTGTTCCACGAGCAATCGTCATCGGCTATCAACTAGTACCGCTATTGCAAACCTCCAGGAGGAGCTTAGGATTGGATGCGGCTTTCAAAGGTACAGAATGAGTACTAAGGATTTCGTTACGGCTTGGGAAGGAAGGTGGTAGTTCTTAGAAGCAGGCTTGTAGTGCCTGAAAGGAAGAGGGTATCCAATAGCTAGAGTAGATGCGTCAGGGGAGAGGTGCTGAGTTGGGTCGAGGGGAGGTTCCGGGGGATTATTTGCGGTGAATTGACAATTGCTTCGCTCGCATGTTCGTGCTGCGCATGTGGCCTATGCCGAGAAGCTACCGTACGTGGTTGTAGGGCACGGCGTTCTGGCTTGCAGTCAGCCCCGCCACCGAGGACCCCAGTAGGCTACCGCAATTGAGGAAGTAAGTCCGCGAAGACTCTTAAATGAAACCATACCTGCGACAAGAGATAGACCTCACCGCTCTCCATCGACTCGAGCAGATTGCGAAGCTCCTCGCGATCGATATAGCCATTCCTGAAAGATCGGGGGTGTCGTCCATATATTGGGCTTGGATGGTAAACAAATTAGATTTGTGGGATCGTGCTCAGGTCCTTCCGCAAGCGCAGATAAGGTCGCTACGAATCCATGTAAAGCTGCCAACCCGAATTGATCAACAAATTTCAAACGATTTGCTCCTGCTCAGATGCACGATCAGCGCTGCATCCACATGGAAACCTCCGCTAGTGCTGCATGCTTTCCTCTTACCCGTCCACATCAGCCATCTTGAAGCGAGTCATTAAAGCCTCAATCTTCGCCTTGCTAGCCTCGTCCATCACGCCTTCCACATCGGCGCGCGGTACCAGGCGTGCAAATCGCCTCGCGACACCGTGGCGAGGAGCTGGGAACGATGCCGCAGTCGACGCGCGGCTACCAGCGCGACTTGCTCCAGGAGTGCTGATCACAGAGCGCACGCGTGACACAATCATGGTTGCGGAAGCCCACCTTCGGTATGAGGTGACGGTTAGGCTTGCGTGCGAAGAATGTAACAGCAAAGACAGGTAATCTCACACCCTCTATTCCCAGCTGATCAGCGACTCGATGTAAGTTTAAAGAAGCCTGATGTTTGAGAAAATCGGAGCAGTGCCGTACGTTGCCGTTGGACCTCCTTTCTACTTTCTACACCTGTGATGACCATGACACCACATTATTTAGTTGTATTTGAAATGATCAAATGAAAAAGAAACATGGCATAGTAAAGCGTTCCCCCCATAAGGTGCCGGGGGGTGGCCACCTTTTGGATCGATTGCTGATCCCCCGAATTGAGCAGTATGGTCTCAACAACAATTACACAGATGTTGATGAAGTGGCTGACTATTTACGACGGACATACAAGGAGTACCAGCGGCGTCAGCTGGGGCCTTTTCGCGCAATGGTGACTCGCGCAATTGGCACTCTGCAGCGCAAGGGCGATGTTGCAAAACCAGAGCTGCAGCTTCAGGTGTAGAGCACCGGCGGCACTCATGATTTTGCGCGTGTCGGCGGGGTGTCGGCGGGCTCTGCCGGCAGCGGCCGGCGGCGGCATACAGTCTTCTAATGCATATCTATCCCTAAATTGAATGAAGCGGGTCCTATGTAGTGAATTACTCTGTGGAGCTTGACAACTTGAGTCATGTCCGTTTGAATGCTTCGACTTTGCTTACAAGTTGGGATACTGCCAAAGCAATCGGGATTTGCCTAGTACATGGTTATTTCTAATCAGGCACGTGGTTGTATTTTTGGCTTCGGAACTTGTCTTGGGTATGCGTTATACACCTATGTCCCGGTTGTCCTAGGCACCTGGACCTCAAAATCAGTTTACGTTCCACTGATTTTCTACGCATAGTCAGTTACCATGATTGTCTCCCAAATCCAGCAAGGGGGACCATGCAGAGGCGGAGCAGGGTAAAGGAAATTAAATTCGCAGTATTCGGCGTCGCCAAACGCGCAACACCATACAAGTGTTGTTCGCGAACTGTGTTTCGTTGATCGCTCTTCACTAGAACGGTATATGGTGCCTCCTAGCTTCTTACCCTGCCTTTCCTCACTCTCGTATAGGCACTCGAGGCTCAACATCTTGGTCGGGTGTCAAGGACGCCTGCCGGCAAGAGCGGAGACCCCAGCAGCAGCAGTGGCAGCAGTCGCCATGATCACGAGTCAAGAGGCGGCAGCAGCAGTGACGACGAACGTGACTGCAGTAGCAGTGGCGGCGGAGGCGCTGAAGCCATCGCTTCCTCAAAACGAAAGCGCAGAAGACGCTCCGAAAGTGGGGCAGGGCCCAGTTCGGATCCAGGATTGGATTCAGATTCGACATCTGGGACGAGCAGCGACAGCAGCGAAAGTAGCGACCCAGACTTAGAGCCTGAGCAAGCCAAGCTCATGGCAGCCGCGGCGCTACCCAACGCGGCCAGCCACATGAACAAGTCGCTGCTCAATATGTACGCACGCACCGCAACACCTGCGGTTGCGCCAGCGCCTCAAGCACCAGGCTCCGCTGCAGGGAGTGGAACTGGTGCCACCGGGTCGTCCCCGCCGGCGTTTGCATCGCCAGAGATCGTTGCGGCTGCGGCGGCTAGGGCGCTCGCGAAGGAGCGGGTAGAGAGAAGGGAGACGGCAATGCGTAAAGCGGGCAGGAACAGCGGAACTGTCCCTGGAGCGATGGCTTCGCGTGCCGCTGCAGACCCGGATGGACCCTCTACCAGCGGCCGTTCTGCTGCCGCGGCCGGCACGGCGGCGGCGGCGGCAGTAGTGGCCCCTGACGGAGCAGTAGCACCGGCTGTTAATGGACTACAGACTGCCGCTGCTGTCGTACTCACAGCGGCAGGTCCCCAGGTGATCAATGCTGCCGCGGCCAGCGGCCCGGCGGATGAAGCAGGTGCCTGCGGTGGCAGCAACGTGGCTGTTGCTGTAGCAGTGAAGCGACCGCGGGAAGCCGACGCGACGGAAGACGTGGGCGGCCCGGCCGCATTGCAGGGGGATCAGGGGCATCGGCCACAACTGCAACATCAACCGCAACAACCTTTACAAACTAAACCTGCTGCGAAACGCGCGCGGCGGCTTGCCGGGATTGGCGGTAGTGGCGGCGCTGGCGGTGGGGGTTTGGGCGGTGCAGGTGGAGGCGGCAGTGCCGTGACGGTCGCGAAGCCGTTGTCTTACGCGGATCTTGGCGGCATTGAGGAAGTCCTGGCGGACATTCGTGAACTTATTGAGTATCCCATAAAGCACCCCGAGGTGGGTCACATCCTTTTCCTGGCTTTCCACTTAGCCGCTGTACATCCACTGAACGTCTACATGTCCACGTAGCCGCTACACGCATGCACCTGCTGACCGGGTAGAATGCTAGGCTTCAACGCCCCGTGCGCTCTTATCGGCATTCCTTATTACCCGCTCATGTGTTTGGTGTCTGTCAAGTTTTAGCTATTGTTTATGGATTTGTTTTGAGTTTTGGACCGTGTAGCTGACGGCAGGGTTCATGGCCTTTCTGCCGCTGTCTGCGGGAATATTTGGGGTTTTCCGGCCCTAACCTGTAACCTTGTATCCGGCAGGTGTACGCCTGGCTGGGTGTGGAGCCCCCTCGGGGGGTGCTGCTGCACGGTCCACCTGGCTGCGGAAAGACTGCACTAGCCAACGCGATCGCGAATGAGTGCGGAGTGCCCTTCCTGAAGGTAAGCCGGGAAGGAAGGCAGCTCCAAGAGTACGTGTGTTAATGATCTGAGCTGCGGGCTGGAACTGGCACGCCAGTAGTGCCTCGTTATGTTTAACCAATCTCTTGCGAAAGCCCGATCAGGCCAAGATATAAAGCGTATATGTAGTTGGTAGGAGCAGACAGAGGCAAAGGATGTGCCTGACATGTCCGGGGTCAGCCAGTCGCAACCTAGATGCTGCAGGCATGGGCTATATTCAGCCTGCCTCCTGATGCAATACGTACCCCTGCGATTAAGCTTGTCGCAGGGGTAAAAGGGCCGATCTTTTCAGCTTAACTGTGCAGTCAGGCTCGCCCCTAGGATTGGACGGACGATTTAATCCTCGCCCCTCCATCCAAGACGGCATGTAGCAGTGAGGGGTACTTCGCCCGCAGACCCCGATCCTTCGTTTGCCGTTCTGGTGCCGCCATTAGCATCACGTTGTTGCGGCTCTTGCTGGTGGTCCACGCAGGTGAGCGCGCCCGAGATTGTGAGCGGCATGAGTGGCGAGAGCGAGGCTAAGCTGCGGCAGCTGTTCGGGGAGGCTCGTGACCTGGCACCCTGCATTGTGTTCATAGGTACGGGCGGCCTATCGGGACAGGAAATGGCTCCCGGGAAGTTGTTATACACTATATAACCCTTATAAACCGGCATTGATAGTGGGAAACGACTCAATGGAAGGGTGTTTTCTCCACGTTACTTCACCATACAACACTGTATGGAACTTAGTCCTTTTAGGGTTATGTGTATCAAACCCTGAAACATGGTGGGAAAGTGCATGGGCGTGGGGAGTTAATTAAGAGTTTTGCCGGCAGGCGAAGATGTCACGGCTTGTCGTGCACAGGCCTTGTCGCGCGGCAGATGCACCCGGGGAGTTCACTTCAGACCTTGCCTCACAGATAATGGCACGTCTTCTGTTCCAGAACCCGTTGATTAGCTAGCTAGCGGTGTCGCAAGGTACACGCAGCCGGCCTGTTTTCGGTCTTCGCCTGGTCCTTGATCGCGGCTCTTCCATCCTCGGGTGCCGTCCTCCATGTCAGCCCCGGGGCCAGCAGCTCGCGAACAGCAAAACACGGGTAGACCGCCGGCTTCCGGTCACCGGTGCCCCACCTTTGCCCGCTTCAGCGTGGAAAAGTGATGGCGTATCGGTGGACGGGGGCCGGTGACGGTGTGTAGCTGTGCATACAGAGCCGGCTACGGCGCCACGGTGATCTGCCCGGACAGTGCCAAGGCCTTCTCAGGCCTAGATCTTGTTGTGGTCAGCCCCCCAGCAGCTCATTGCGGTCCTGCATATACAGCTGAAGGAGTTTTTCAGCACCTGTGTACGTAACAGCACGGTTAATTGCACTCGAGGTAATGAACTTGACCATGATATTGTACACAGGTTTTCTCCTCGAATGCTTGAAAGTACGATGGATGGTGGTGGGACAAAAGCTGTACCAGAGGCCATCCTGGAGGGGAAAGGTAATGACCAGCGACCAAGGTTAAAGATAGGAATGGGGGAAATGTGGCATTGAAAGCATTTGGTCTAAGTAGGTTAGCCTGAGGTTGGCCTGAAGGGGAGGAGCGGCAATTACCAATCCAGAAGGCTTTGGCGCGGTTGCCAGACTTGATCAAGGGAACCGCGGAGGCTGGCGTCCGGCAATCCTACACGGCATAAGGAGGAACTGAGGGATCCTAAAACTTAACTGCGTGCTTCTGCTTACGTGCGTTTGCAAAGCTTGACGACGTGCAAAGCTTTTGCATCACTCTTCCGGGTTTTCAATAGTTTGCAAACTGGGGCAATTAGTATATGTCTGGTGTAACAACAATTTGCAGTAAACGTCTGGGATGACATCAGCTTGCATGTAAACAAAGCCTTGGACTAACGTACCTACCTCCCGAACGAAACCGCATGAAACAACACGCTGTGGCGGGTGCGGAGGTGTTGCTGATGCTGACGGCAGCGTTTGCCCACCGCAACGGAACAGCGCCTATTCTTCATCGCGGCTCTTCCATCCTCGGGTGCCGTCCTCCATGTCAGCCCCGGGGCCAGCAGCTCGCGAACAGCAAACATTACCCATGGGGTCGCAATCCTCCCTCACACCACTGGCTCCTCTTCCGTCACCCAGCTTCGGCCGGGAAAGGTGGGGGGTTAGTGGCTGGGGTTGGAGACGGCGTGTAGCAGTGTGCATACACCAAGCTACACTGCCATGACGATGATTGGCCCGAACAAGTGCAGAAAGGCAACCACAATAACAGAAAACACATGCACAGCTCGTGTGCCTTGACATGAATACCCTGGCTACACACAGTCATGAATTGCCGCTCTGGATGCTCATCATCTAACCCTCACTGCAACAGCCATCTAATTCTTGACCGCGGCTCTTCCATCCTCGGGTGCCGTCCCACACGTCAGCCTCGGGGCCAGCAGCTCGCGAACAGTAAAACAGGGTTAGACCGCCGGCTTCCGGTTGCCCACTGCTCCTTAGCGAGGGGACGCGGGCGTTGCCGAAAGACCTGCGGAGGGTGACTGTGGCGGACATTCCGCCGTCGCAGTTTCATCCAGCGATCCCACATTTGTACCTGTCCTTACCGCAGCCTGTGTGACACAGGAAGGTAGCTCTAGATCCAGATAGCAGCATTCAGGGCATTCTTTTCGTATCAGTAAAAGTTTTTAGTACCCGTAATTTCCTTGGGTGACCTTAATTTTATTCCGTAGGGTTGTCCGTCGTGGCTATTCAGGACAGGATTCGCTACTAATGCGGCCGAAGCTTAAGCGTAAGATGCAGGGTCGTTTCCTGAAGTATTATGAATATTTTGACATTGACTTCTGTGCTATCTTGCACTATGCCGGCCCACGGCGCCCGACTAGGTGTTCCCGATCAGCTTGCCGAGCATGTACAAAAATATAAAAATCTTTGACTTGGTTGCACATGTCAGACACACACCCAGCGCAAGCAGCCTCGTCCAACCTATCCTCAGAAAGTACGAGTTGCCAGATCTCTTGCATCCCTTCCCCCATCGCCCTCCCCTTCGCTCTCTGCCTGCCATCCACATGGGTCTGGCCGCCACGCCACGCGGTCATCAGATGAGATAGACGCCATCTTTCCGAAACGTGAGACGGCGCAGCGCGAGATGGAGCGACGTATCGTGGCGCAGATGCTTACGTGTATGGACGACCTCTCGTCAGCGGGTGCCGGGGTCGAGGCGGCAACGGCCACGGCAGCGCCCAAGCTGCAGAACGTCGGCGAGCGTAGGGAGGAAGGCAGCAACGGCGCCGCCATGGTGCACACTGCACCGCCGCCCCCGCCGCCGCATGTGGTCGTCATTGGAGCCACGAACCGTCCCGACGCATTGGACCCCGCACTGAGGTGGGGTGATATGATAGGAGGCCTTATTGCGGGTGTCTCCGGGACGGCGGTTTGAGTATGACTGTTGAACGTTTGGGCTTGCTGCGCACGGGTGGTGGTGAGCGAGTGGCGGTGAAGGTATGATGAAGGATCAGCTTCCTCGCGGCCGTGTACTGCGTTTCGTGCTGGCTTGCCGCGATATGCGTCTGTAGTGCAGCTCTACCCGTCAGTGCTGACGTGTATGCTTTGTGCGCGTCATCTAGTTCCCCCTGTGGTTCTCTGCTGCCATCCCCTATGCTGCAGTATTGCTTACCTACATCTTCACTTCCCAACAGTTTTATGTCCCCCTGCGGTATTGGTTAATCTTGGTGCGTGGATGGCTGCTTGCAGACGTGCTGGTCGCTTTGACAGGGAGATTGCGCTCGGGATACCGACGGAGGCGGCTCGGGTCAAGATCCTGCAGGTGGGCCTGTTTCTTCAGCCAGCCTCATTAGTTAAGGTCCCGGTATTATTATTTTTCCCACTTCTCAAAAGAGTGCAATGCAACGCCACCACCGCGTGTGCCGGGAGAAGCCCCCTATGCCTGAAGACTTTATGCCTATGGACGTTCTACACGTACAACTGACGAGTGAAATGACCCCCAGATAGACAGGACCTTTCCTCCTGCCGCAAACCTCCTTTTGCTTTAGGCTTGCCTACTTGTGTCATTACCTGCCGCCGGGCTACCGGTGTGTGTGCTGCTTTATCTCCTGATACATCCATCGGCGTGCCATCGGCGGCTCATCACCTCTCTTTCCTCTTGCATTGCCTCCTATCTCCTGTCTCCTATATTGGCAATAGGTGTATCTGAGTAATGACGAACAGGTACTTGACCATAATGCTGTCCTGTGGCCATGATGTACTCGCGGACTTGCACGCAGGTCATCTCCAGGAGGTTGCGATTGGAGGGCAATTTGGACTTGCGCGCCGTCGCGAAGCGAACTCCGGGCTTTGTCGGTGCTGACCTCACGGCCCTGACAAAAGAGGCGGCAGCCGTCGCCGTCACCCGGATATTTTCGCAGCTCGCGGACGCTGCCAAGCCGGCGCTTCCTGCCGGCGTTGCAGCGGCGGCGAGCTCCGTCACTGACGCGGCGGCTGCGGAAGCGGAAGCAGAGGCGGCTCCTTGGCCGCCACCGGTTGTGGTGGCTGGGATGAGCCGTCTGGGCAGGGGTCCCCTGGGGCCAGAGGAGCTGGCGGGCTTGGCCATCACGATGGCGGATTTTGAGACAGCACTGCCCAAGGTAGAGTTCTGATCTTCATTGACTCGTATGTTGTATCCTTCCGCATTCTAAAAAACGGCTTATATTCCTTCGTTTCTCTCGTTTCCGCACCTCTTGAGTCTGTGTTGTGTGTAATTTAATGAGCGCTTTAGCCAATCCATCATGACAATGATGTGGGCTTAGTTCTGCAGAAAAAAACCTTCCTATCCTGTTACCGTTTCCCCAATTTCTTTCTCCAACCACCACATCGTCTGCCCCCTGGCGTAGGTCCAACCTAGCGTCCGCCGTGAGGGCTTCACCACCACCCCGGATGTGACCTGGGACGATGTGGGGGCGCTTGCAGAGGTACGTACGCAGCGTGGCTGATGCATGCGTGGTTTGCCTGCGATTACCTGTGGATAGATGTGTGCGCAGTGTACTAGGTGGGGCGCTACTACTGGGCCGCTGCTATCTGTCCATACATGCAAATACGAATCGAAAGCGGGTTTTGGTTCTTCCAAGGCTCTCCCTTTGCTCATGGCCTCGGGGCTTTGACGGAGAAACCCCCCATTCGTGCGGAACTTGTAAACTTGGCGGAGGAGGATTTCGTTCCCTTCGTTCTGCCTAGTTGAGGATGAGCAGCATGCAGTCTTAACGCATGCAAAGAATAATGTGCAGCCTCTGAGTGAATTATGTGAGGGGTGCCTCCCTGGAAATTAAACGCACGATTATTTTTTGTTTGGCATCTTCGACGTGCTCACTGCCAGCTGCTTCTTGCCGTTGTGGGTTGGCATGGGGGATTTGATGTTTCTGATTAGGGTCTCTCCTCGTCCTGTCCCAATAATTGTAGTTCATGCTGTCCATCTCTTGTGTGTTGCATGTACGTCGATACCTCTTGGTTACAGGTGCGCGAGGAGCTATCGTTTGCGATCACAGAACCCATTCGCAACCCCGAGCGCTTCGAAGCGTTGGGACTGCCCGCCGCGACCGGTGTCCTACTGTACGGTAAGTACGAGAGGACCGCAGGACGGGCGCGTTGTTTCCAATTGACGTTAATCTCACATTCGTTACTGGTCGGGACTTTCTATCTCGCCAGAGGACTGATCCGACTCAGGGAACCGCCCGCTTTAAATTACGACAGCGAGTCGGGAGCGAATTATATAGATAGCCGTGCACGGGTTAGGAAGTGGTGATGGTTTTAAAGGAGGTTTTTCAGCCCTTGACACTCTTGACACCATTTCTGTACGCGTTGACTCGGGACCTTACCCAATCATTTTTCGGTGGTGTCCTGATGTGTCCTGACCTCCGCCCTTCCCCGTACACAACATGTACAGGACCTCCCGGTTGCGGCAAGACGCTGGTGGCCAAGGCCGTCGCGAATGAATCAGGCGCCAACTTCATTTCGATCAAGGTACTACCATGGTAGGGCATCCTTTACCTCTTATTACTACTATGTTATTATGCCTTGACATTGCCTGGGTGTGTTTCATCTTGTTACCGCCTTCTGCTGCTTTTGTTCGTGTACGCGTCCCTCCTCGTGTTATAGGGCTATCGTTGTTCTGATCGGCGCTGATGATGCCGCCCGTGAGGGCGATGTTGACTGCGAGCCATGATGGCCTTCCTGAAGGTCGGGGCGGTGACGCAGCTCTATCAACCAATGGATCCTTCTGAGCCGAAAAAAGGGACAAACTAATAATATCGTTTCGCAGCCCATGGCATCACACGGCCCATCGCAGGCTCGCTGTGATGTATGATGTGAACGCAATCCAATGCATGCGCTGTCTTTCATTTGGTAGAGTTTGGTACATGTATGACATTTCGAGTTCCCCACCCAGCGGGTTGGGCTGCTGAGGGCGTACACAGCTGGGGAAGGACTGTCAGTCCCTCTCGGGAGGTGCAAATTGCGGTATGCTCCCTGGTTCCGGACGCACCCTTGGTTTGCGGCGTCCAATCAGCATTATAGCTGTGAGACCATGGCGGCCGCTGCAATTGCCGCTACGCCCCGCCACCTCTCTTAACCAAAACTGTAAACAAGTTACGTTTGGCTTTACGCATATTCCTGAAAGCCCCTTATTCCGCTTGGCAGGGCCCTGAGCTGCTTAATAAGTACGTGGGCGAGAGCGAACGGGCGGTACGGCAGCTCTTTGCGCGGGCCCGTGCAGCACATCCCTGTGTGCTCTTCTTTGACGAGATGGACGCCCTGGCCCCTAGGAGGGGGACGGACAACAACCAGGCGGCGGAGAGGTGGGGAAGCCACGTCCAGGGCCGGGGTGGTTATTTTATTGAAGGGAGGATTGTATACAACTGTCCAAAGAATAATTGCCGACATCCAAAGCCAGAGGGGAGGGGGAAGGTTCAGGGAAATATGGACACGGTGCAAAACCTCGTCGTACGGAGATGTACTGCAAACTTGTGCGCACAGACTTTGCAGGGGCGCACCCGAAGGTGTGGAGGAGGGTGGGACGTGTGTGTGGGGGGGGTACAACGTGTGAAATGAAGCGTAAACTAGTCCCGCCAAAACAGATTCCAGTAATCAGCATAACCTTCTGTAATTAGCATGGCTTTCTGTTCTGATCGGCGCTGATGATGCCGCCCGTGAGGGCGATGTTGACTGCGAGCCATGATGGCCTTCCTGAAGGTCGGGGCGGTGACGCAGCTCTATCAACCAATGGATCCTTCTGAGCCGAAACAGACAAACAGGCATACACGTCGAGGATCTTCTCACTGATTCATGTACCTGCACATGATGCCTGATGCCTGCGCTGCTTGGCAGCTTGGACGTCGGCAATCGAGACTACTTGCGCTCCTGCATATCATCCCCGAATTGTCCGTTCCCCTTTTAGCAGCCAAATGCGCCAAATACCACTTCCTCTACTGTCTCGACTTCTGCAGTAAGCCTTACCATGTACAATTTCTATGCTTTGTTTCTCTCACAGTCAACCATCAACCAACCAACGCACTGCAATGCTATTTCCCCGACAGCCATGTTCATTTCCTTACTCCCGCTATGGTCAGACCTCTGCATTGTTGATCGGGTTCCTTCCCCTCCATTTTCCTCCGTCTCCAGCCTCGCGTATGGTTCATACATATGACTCCCCCGCCCCTCGCCTGTTAGGGTCGTCAACCAGCTCCTGACTGAGATGGACGGAGTGGACAGCCGTCAGGGGATCTTCATGGTGGCCGCAACCAACCGCCCCGACATGATTGACCCCGCACTGCTGCGCCCTGGTCGCCTCGACAAGGTGTGTGTGCGTGTGTGTGCATTTGTGCGTGCGTGCGTTTGTGCTAGCAGTCGGAAGGACAACGGTGAACGATGTCCGTTCCATGCCCGGTTTTCGCGTTGACCGTGCTTAGCAGCGGTGGGACCCTCAAAGGCCTGTCTTTCCTATCCCCCTGTTTCGGAACGATATAATCAGCTATGTATCCCGGTTCCTCCTGCCGTACAGGTGCTGTACGTACCGCTCCCGCCGCCGCGCGACCGCATCTCCATCCTACGTGCCCTGGTACGCCGCACCCCTCTCGAGCCGGGGGTGGACTTGGAAGCGGTGGCAACAGACGCACGCTGCGACGGATTTAGCGGTGCTGACATGGCGGCTCTGGTGCGTGAGGCGGCCATTGCGGCGCTGAAGGAGTCCATGGCGGCAGGGCCAGGTAAGTCCTCTTGGATCGTTCCCTTTCAAAAATGGGCAAAATGGACAAGGAAATCGCCGGCTCGGCAATCATTATGATAGTTACGAGGGTTGTATGAGTGTGTGCTGAGGTTGCATGCCTTATTTATTTGTGCTGCAGGTGGTCCACCTTTTCGTGAAGTACATGTTGTCAGGATGGGGCACTAAACCAAACCCCCCTCAAATCACATTTAAGAGTCGCTTCGCTCGCGTTCTGCTCTCCTCTGCCCTTGTGCCGTCCTCCCCGCAGCAGCTGCCTCTCCCAGCGTGGGCATGGGACACTTCAAGACGGCTCTGGGCCGTGTGCAGGTAGGTGGCATCAGGACGAATGGTGCAGTGGCGGGGGGAGGGGGGGGCCTGGCAAGCGTACTGGGTTCGGTAGGCTGGATCATCGTGTGTTTTAGCTGTTGCGTGTTGGGTGGTCTTGGGTATGTCCATGATGGCGCAACGGAGGGACTGAAGCCGTTTCTTACGTTTCCTAATACACTCGAATGCCCGCCGTCTGTGTTTTCATCGTTCGTTAATAGCCACTGCCTATTTACGTGTCTTTTTCCAGGTGAAAAATCTACGAACTTCATCATTTGCACACTCTCGAAAGTCGTCCAGGATTGGACTTTCAATCTCCTCTGAATGGGAGGGATCAAGATGGATGGATGGATGGATTGGAGAAACAATAATAAATGCACCAAGCATTGCTTTCCTGCCAGAATTGACATAAATTGATAATATCAAATGGCAGAACTGACATCTGACGGTGGTAATGGGCTCCTCACCTAACTTTTATCTATCCCTTGCATCGTTGCGTGCCGTGCTGTGCCTCTCTAGCCGAGCGTGAGCCGCAGGGACCACAAGGCCTATGAGGCGCTTCGGCTTCGGCTGCGAAGCACCCGATCACACATTCAGCCGGACGCAGATATCAAACCCACGACAGCGGAAGGGGTTGCTGCTATTGGCGGCGGCCGCATTATCGCTGGAGAGGACGGCATTGCCATTACTACCACCGCGGGCGGCGGCAACGCCTTAGGTGTCGGGGGTCGCGACGGCGACGGTGATGCTGTCTTGGGGGATGTCTCAGCGGACGACGCAGGGCTGGTGGCAATGGCGGCCGCAGCTTGTGCTAGTGCTGGTGCTGCAGGGGCCGCAGCAGAGCCGGAGCCTGGGATGGGCGGCGATGGTGGAGCTTCGATGGCTGTCTCCATGGACGACCAGGTCCGTCAGTAATGACATAATGATCTCAGTCCACACCTGCCTTGGACTGGGTTATAAACTCTTGTCATGATGTCGTGGCTTGGGATCCTCTGTTTGGTCGATCCTATATAAGGGGCTTAGGGTTTTGTAAGGGGCTTATGTAAGGTATAGCCCGTGGTAAGTGAGGTGGGCTCTCGCTTCGCATACGCAGACCCTGAACGGCGGTTTACATGGCGTTCGCACTGGACCACTTAATTCTGTTGAGCGCGAAAGAAGCGTAGATAACTGCCGCGGCTTCTTCATCGTCCTTGCAAGGGCACTGTGGAGGTTTAAGGATGTTGGTTGGTGTTCTCACGGCCTGCTGTAATGGTTGGCTGCTCGGATATATTCATAAATGACCTGACATAGAGTTTTAATAGATCTCCGCTTGTAGAGTTTACCTACACCTTCACCTGGGGATCGAATTACCATGCCAGGTGCCTGGGTAATTTCACTTCCAATCTAGTGTGCGCGATGACCTGGTTCGCTCCATGTGGCTATTATTCGGCTTGTAAGGCTCCTGGAATGCAGTGCATGTTGCAACGGAACGCGCGATTGGTTGTGTCCTGCACCTTAGCCTAAGTTACTCCCTGCCGCAGTCCCCCAGTTTCGCGTTCTTTTTCCAAATAGTGATTCCGAGTGTCGCCGTTTCGCCTCCTGCCCTGCATCCTATACCAGGACGGAGAGCAATATCTGACGGGAAGAGAGGACTGTCCAACCTACACAACAAAATCGAGTGGTGGTGCAGATGCCGACGAAGCAGTACTGCGACCCAGCCATGTTGTGCGGGACGAGGGCGAGGGCGAGGGGGATGTCATGGAGATGGCGTAATTGACTGACCGACTGACTGACTGACTGACTGGCTGGGGAGGTGATTAGTGGCGACTGCATCGTACGTGCACCTTGACAGAACTGTGTGTGTTGTGTTACATATGATCAAGGTGTTGCGTTTACGGCAAAGTGTAGAGTGTCGGTTTGTGCGTGTGACGGACAGAGAGTGGGACATAACTGGCCTCAGCGATATATAGATAGTGAGACGAGTTCGTGACTGTAGATTGTAGGAAGGTGAACATGCAAGGATTTCGACTACTACCCTTGGTATGCCTTCACTAGAGTGGCGGTGTGCACGACGTACAGTTTCTCTGGTGTACAGGGGTCAGCAGGCCCGATATTGATGTGCTATATCCTTCCTGCGTTGGCTGGCTGGGACGTGTCCACCGCAGTTGTAAGCCTTATCGTGCAGTTGCGGTCTCGGTCGATCCTTGTGGTGTGTCTATCAGCCCCACAAGGATATAGCAATCCAGTAATCTAGCGTAACTGTCCATAATTATTTTTGCTCAATACTAATTTAATGGTGGTTGGTGCGTTGCTCAGACCAATAACATTTGGGACGGGGAATAAGACTGCACATAATGAACATCCGGCGGGGTGTTGTGGGGGCTGGCCAAAAATATACAAAACCGGGCTTGGGGGGAGGCTTGGCTCTGGTATCTCCATGCCTAGCAAGCTGCGCGTCCAAAGACACTTTAGGTTCATATCGGCTGCTACAATAGCGAGGCGACAACGGCTGTGCATGGCTGGCAGGCTTCGCGGGCGGCAGAGAGAAGCAGGTTCTGGTGTTACAGTAATATTGTACGTTATTCAGGGAGAGAGAACGGCAGTAGTTGCATTCTTACATCGACATCCAACTGCCAACGTTGCGGTTGCTCCAAAACCATGTCTAGGAATGGCGACCAACTGGACGAAAGAGCATACACTCATGCGCACAAACGAAAAGGATGTAAACAGGCCCTTTGGCACAACCCCCTTCGTTGTTTCCTCTCCATCAGCTGTCGGAACGTGTTTCGGAGAAAGCCTTCGGAGCAACGCAGAGCAGTGCAGCGGTGTCTCGGGGAAAGTATTCCAATGCCAAGGTCTTTCGTTGGAGTAGATTGCATATTCGTGCGCGAAAGCCTGGAGGGCTGACGGTATTCGGACTGCAATCGTCAGTATGCAAGCGCCTGGTTATTGCCTCCAAATCACTATGTGATATTGGATTAATCTGAGCTACGGACAAAGTATAGTCTAGTCCAAAGATGTCTGGCTCGGCCACTACAATTGTGCTAAATAGTATTACGCACAGAACTTTCGCCCGTTCTGGGCTCTTTGGAAACCCAAGTGACCAATATGGCGGTCAGACCATCGCTTTTTCATTGGAAAACTTTTATGCAGAGGTAACTTTCCTCAAAATGGCGGGTACTTCCTGAGGCCTTTTTTCAGGACAGCTTGAGAACTTGTTTTGGCACTGTACGTAATTTATATTTACAACCTTGCCTTCCCACTGACGTCGCCCCGGCTTTCGTGGGCAACTCTCCAAACCTCTCAAATTGTTTTGATGCTTCGACAGGTCACCCTCACACCAGCAGCGGCGCAATCCGCCAGTATAAGAATAGAGCCACATCCTATTTATGACAGCACAGACTACGCCTCGTTACAAGTCCTGGTTGAGAAAACCTCTAGCGAGGGCTTGTACGGCGGTGTACGGCTCCTCACGGTGGGTGCCGTGGCGTTATTTGCAGGCACCACGGCCCAGATGTATCCAGTCCAAATGGCCTTCAGATAGAAGATCACATATTCGGGCTTGAGAGGGCTGTGCCTTGGCCTGGGTCCCTACTCTAGCGGTGCCTGCCTCCTTTGTTTTCCAATCTCAATTTCACACACGGGCCCCGATACGGGAGCTCCTCGGGAAGTGAGGCTCTCCGACCGCTCTCCTGCACTGCGAAAGAGTGATCACCACATGCTGGGTTTAGTGAATGCAGTGACAGGTAACGGTACTCAATCAATCCTGCGTTTGGAAGTACGTTTGTGACTGTACGTATGGCACATAAAAACATCGTGGTGTGCCGTCATGCACCTTTTCTGCGCACCCATCCGCAGGCTGCTGTCAAACGTTTTGCACAGTACTGCAAGGAGAAGCACATTCCTCTATCGGTACCCATGAACGGCGGCGGTTTCACGCTATCGTACGACACCAATGTGCCACGTCAAACAGGCCTCGCAGGCTCCTCCGCAATTATATACTCTGGTGCGTGTGGCCCCGGATGGCCCCAGGCGCCCAACAGCTGCGGCAACTCCGGCTAGTTTATCGTTGATGAGTGTTTTTCACAATTGTTGCCAACCCAGTGAACATATTCGGCATATCCCCCCCCTTTAGGAAATATCTCGCATGAGCGCTCAAATCACCGATACCCACCCACCTACCGGGGTTGGTAGCTATGGATGGATGTTGTGATTACTATTGATTGCACTGCTTCAGACAAGCAACAACAGCACCCTTTCGTGGGTGCTTTGTTCTCTTTGGCCGATCCCTTCTTTGGACTGCGCTCAACCTGCTGCGATGCTTGTTGTTGTTGATGCCTGAGCCCAGCCATCAAGTGCCTGATGGAATGGTACGGCGTCGACGAGACTGCATTGCCGTACTCGGCACACCCGCAACTGGTCCTATCTGTTGAGGCCGGGGAGCTGGGCATTGCTGCGGGGCTGCAAGACCGCGTGGTGCAGGTAGGTGTCGCGTCCCGTATGCCTGCCGTACATGCTTCCCAGGAAAGAATTCAGGAGCTGCTGATAGCGCAGTTTGGCCAGCATCAACAATCAGGACGTGTATGTATGTATGTGCTTATGTATGTATGTATGCATTTTGTGTGTACCCGGGAGGATGCAGTGTGTATGTGGCCCCCTCGGCTTCCCTGCATCTGCAGATGAGTGCATGCTGCTGGGTGGGGAAGGGGAGGGGAGGGGGATGAGGAAGGTCACCTTCGACTCCCAGTTCCGTCCTCCTCTCCAAGGGAGTTTTGAAAAGGGCCTGAAACGGTATCTGAGGAGCGATGAAGTGCACTTTTACGGAGCTTCCGGTGCAGACAACCTCCCTAAAAAGGACCCTCCATCACGCCACGCGCGCAGGTGTACGGTGGTGTCGTACATATGGACTTTGACCGGGCGTACATGGCGGCAAATGGTGGCGTCGGGCGCTACAGCCGCATCGCCGCCTCACTGCTGCCGCAGCCGCTCTACATCATGTACTCACAGAACCCTAGCGAGAGCGGCAAGGTAGGTGCGAATATGTGCGTATATGTGCGTATATGTGCGAATATGTTTGAGCCGTGCGATAGGCACTATTACACCCATACCCCCCTCCCTTGCGGGCGGGAATGCGGGGTCCCAGTGTTCCGGGTGCGTGAAGAGCGCCGCCTTGCATTCGCCCTGAACGGGTCCCCCAACACTAGTAGGATGTCTTGTAGTGTTAGGTTCGGCAGCTCCAGCTGACACCTGTATGGTTGGGGCTCCGGTGGGAGGGCGGTACCAGTAGTAACTAACTAACGAACTGCTCCCGCGGCTTGGGACCATAGCTATGGCATGTACGCATTGGCCGATATCGCCTATGGATTGCTATACCCACATCATGGCGGATCAAATCTTTTTATACTACGTAGTAAAACATACATACACAGACATCATTTGTATTCTGCGATGCTCTTGCCTCCTCACTGCCTTAGTGTGTAGATTTTTCAGAGTGTCGATTCTCTCTCCCAAGTCTAGTTTTGTAAGACATATGCATGCGCGCGCAGGTGCACAGCGGTGTCAAGGAAAAATGGTTGGCAGGCGACCGGAAGGTGAGGGCACGTCGTGTAGTCGCAGCTGCTACTCCTGAAAAGCTCTCTCTTGTTATCAAAAGCTCTATCTAGTTATCATGTTCATCTCCAGGAGGCTGCTTTTCCATCCTCTGCCGGCAGCTGCTTCAGTAACCGTAGGATCCAGCATGCAGGCGGTGTGAACATAGCGCCACCTAATCCCAATGCCCTCATCGGTGCTACGGGGCTCTCAACCTTTCGGCCGGTGATCAAAATCCTACCCCTATCGAATGTGCGAATGGTTACGACAGGTGCAGTCCTTGATGGCCTTGGTTGCGGAGTGCGGACGTGAGGGGCTGCAACTGCTGCTACAGTCGCCGTTGATAGCTCAGGTCACGGGCGGCGGGCCGGAGGGGTCTTCATACCCGACCAGCAGTAACGGTGGCAGCAGTAACGGTGGCAACGTCCTACGTGATCACGCGCTCGTGCAGCTCATGAACCGCAACGCCGAGCTCAGGTGTGCTTCTTCTTGGACAAACAACGAACAACGGGAAAACCAGCAGGGAACGGAACGAAAGTACCAAAAAGATGTGTGTATGTGTGTGCGTGTGTGTTGTTTTTGCATGAAGTAAGGTTTCGTTACCAGCAAGGTGCGCGGTGGCCCTTGTTAGCACTCAGCTGCACTCAGCCAACCGTTGCGAGGGACTTTGCGGCAGCAGGGCGGGGTCACCGACGCGATGTCCCCACCGCAAACGCATTCCGCGCAACCTTCGCGACCATGAACATCAGAGCATGAAGGTTATAAGAACACGACTCAAGGTAATATATATTGCATTTCTTGCAAAGCAAGGTCTGCCTTGTGTGTAGGCATTTCTGTCCATGAAGGCCTTCTTCACGGCTTGTTGTACACTCGCGTTTTGAGGTGCCGGATAGGACACCGGTCGAAGCGGAACCGGGGCTGCCAAGGGCCTTACACTACTGCAGACGGAAAAGATACCAGGAGGGGCTTCCCCCCCCTTGGCACTCCATCGCTCAGGCGAGGCCCAGGTTGCGTGTGGTCTCCAGCGCGGGGTCATATCTTCAAGCCGGGTGCACAGCTGCACTGTGGCGTCCTCCTTCCCGCGACCGTGGGCCTTGCGGCCGTCTTCAGGCACCCCTCGGGGCGCTGCTGCGCTGTCCCCCCGCTGCACCTCACATGGGGTGCGGCATGGTGATTCCTCGCTTGGTACACACGGCGCTTTGCACATGGCAGCGAGCTTCTCCCGGAAAGAGGTATTGCTGAGGCTGCTGATTGGTGACTGAACAGAGCCAGTCCCCTGCTGCAGCTGGTGGCCGTGTTGTGAAAAAACGTCAAATACGTAAGATATGTAAGATCTCGCGAGGCTGTCTTAGGTGTTATGTACTAATGCTCAAACGCGCTGAGATGTACGAACGCACTACTGAGGGTTCAAGAAGCTGAAGACGAGCTGGCTATCTAGGCCATGGGATGTGGCACGTGTGACGTTTTTCAACGCGAATGGATGCACTCGCATTGAGAGCCGCTGCACACATGTCTAAAACGGAACAGGAAAACATATCAACAGGACAGGGAACTGGCTAGACACACGGGGGAGGAACGGAAGATTGATGGGGAGAGCATTATTGGCATTATTGCCCGGGGCTTCAAAAATGAATGTGTGCGTGCATGGTTCTGCACATTAGGATTTCTCAGGCACATGCTTTAAAACTGAAGCGTTTTTTTGTAGCAATAGAACTGTAATTAGTGGGGTTGAGAAAGAAGTCAAGGAAGTTCGTAATGGCTGACTGTGAGTTTCTGCGATCACTGTGACCGACCAACATATCACTGGTGCGGAAGTATATAGTAGCTAGAACACAGGGGCACGCAGTCACCAGGTCAGTGGCACAGTGTGACTCGAACGTTCTCTTGTGTGCCGCCGGCCACATGGCGACTGCGAAACAGGCCGGTGGGTACGGGAAGAGCATTTGGTGCCCAGATGCCCTTGGGCCTTCGGCTCATATGGGTAGTTTTACAGGTATGGGGTCACGCACCCCCAACCATGTAACACACACAGACACACACAGGCACACACAGGCACACACACACACACAGACACACACACACACGCACAGACACACACATACACACACACACACACGGTGGGCAACAAAGTAGAGAGCGGGAGCTGGGCAGGATGCATCAGTTGACTGGCAAATCATGTGTATATGACTTATCGTCTTGTCGCTTCGCTATCTCTTTGCTGCTGCTGTTTTGCTGCTGACTCACCCAGGCGCGAACTCTTTGGTGAGGAAGTCCTTGGGGCTCGAAACCTGCGGATGGTGGAGCTGTGCAAGTATGTGATGGGGTGGGTGGGGGGAAGGGAAATGCAGGCGCATGGAGTAATGGGGCAGAGGGGGGTTGGCGAGAGCATCGGCGTGGGTTGTTGGAAAGGCGCGTGGCTTGAGGTGGTGCTCGTTTGCCCCGTAATCCAGGGTGGGGTACCTAGGACCGCAATCCGGGTAATGGGAGGAGATCTGTAGGTAACCCCGGGGTTTCGGAGCCCCTGTGGCGGTAGTTGAGGAATGGGTGGGTATTCCGCAGTAAATACTGGGAAGGAGCTGCTGTGCAGGCAAATCGGTTTGGAGGCACCCACTGATGTATGTATGTATATATGTGTGCACTGCTGTTAAGACACATGGGGCTTACATGCATACAGACCATGCAGGCAAAGCTAGCTGCGTGATACCGCCCTTAGCTTCCTGCTATCAGGGTTCTAAGCGAAGGGTTCGCGCGTCCTGGAGCCCACCGATAGATGAGATCTGGGCCCGCTGCATGTTTTTGCTCACTACCGTTCACTCGCAGGTCGGTGGGTGCCGGTGTCAACTACACGGGTAGCGGTGGTGCAGTGGTGGTGTTCTGCCCGAGTGGCGAGGAGCAGGCGGCAGCGCTGCGGGAGAAGGGCGCGGAGGAGGGCTTCACGTTGGACCGGGTGAGGGTGGGGCTTGAGCGGGCGCCCCTGCCGCCAGCAGCCCGCCAGCAGCTAGAGTACATGGTGCGATGATGGCTATTGTGCCCCTGTCCAGATGCTTTACGGTACACATGCCGCGCCAGCCAGGGCACCCTCAGCATACGACCAGGTGTCTTTCTTTACAAAAGGGTCGCCGATGCCTCACCTGTTGAGCTTGCTTGCATGGTGGCTGCTGACCTGTTTTGGTTGCTTTGCTGGATGCAGTGGTGGGATGGGGGGATGGCGGGGTTTTTGGTATGCACGGGTGTGGGCTGTGCGGAGCAACCCGTGCCCCATGCCACGCATGCGTGAGTTACCCGTGACCCATGGGTCACCCCTGCGAGTGCATGCATGCATGCGTGGTTGAGAGGCAGCGGGGGCCCCAGGGGACGTAGCGACCTGTTATGTATATCTGTCGGCACCTCTGTCGGTGTTTCTCCACCTCACCCAGCGCACGATATGGCGATGCTTAGTTGTATGTCTGTAAAGAGATAGTGCGCCGCACCTGTGTATGTGCGACCTCGTGCCCCACTCGTGCAACAACGCATCACACGCGATATACATACACACATACAGTGGCCTCGGACACATACGGTAAGGACAAGCCCGCAGCATCGTAGCACACAGCTATTACCGATGAGCCATCCGGGCTGGGTTGCTTGACCCCATGTAAGCCGACCATTCCGTCGGTGGTGAGGCGATGGCGGTGACCTGAAGTGACAAGGTACAGATGTGCTGCTGTGTGGTCCAATGTGGCTTGTTTCCAGTTGGCAGCTAAACAGAGGCCAGTAAACATTGACACCTAAGCACCATGGTGAGAAAAATCGAGAAAAATATCTTCGGTGAGGAGCCTTCGACCAACCTGCTCTCCTTGCCGTACATACATAATCTTAATCCGTTGCCACCGCTTCCTTCGTTGCCATTTAAACAGCTCCATCCGGGATATAGCCAATGAGAAAACTAAGTGAGAGTCGTCTGTTAACGAATCCGCTGTTTGGAGTTGGGGATTCCCCGGGAAGCCCGTCAAGGGAGGGTCGACAACACAGCGGCTGAGTACGTGGACCTTACATGGCTTGAGATGCCCTCGCAAAGCAGTGCCTTCATATAGAGGATATACTGAGGTGTCCAGCGCAGCTTGGCCTTACACAGCATAGTAAGCACCTTTCGCCGATATACACAGGCAGGCAGGCGCGCAGCCACCATTTTTTCGGGTAGTCCTTTTTGCCCAGTAATGGGAAATTAATAGAAAGTTTAATAGCTATTGTTGCATGGCCAAGGTCATCAAGTGTGCGGATATTTTCAATATCGTCAGGCCGGCAGGCACCAAGCCACCAACGTCACCCTAGGTGCCTACAAGCTGATTCACGGTGGGGGCTGCGTCCGAAAAAGTTCCGAACGTGTCAGAAGAAAGTTGCAGACGATCCGAACCCACATATCCTCATGCCATACGGCGAAAGGTATCACAGGGAGCCCATAAGATTAGTTCATTCCTCGGGAAGCGCGGCGAAGGTTAGCGAAAGGGTATAATTTCATTGGAAAGGCCAATTAATGGGGAAGGCATTTAAACCTGCGCTACTCGTTAAATTAATGGTGAAATTGTTGTAACGGTGACTTAGTAAAAAAGGACAGGCGGATGCAAGAGAATGCAAGCCAGCCCCACTGTGGCGCGACCTTATGCGCCTAATGTCGTGGCAGGCATTATGGCCAACAAATAAAGACATAGGCATGCAGGGTAAAGAGCTAGGTTGAACTACAAGGTAGATTTGTAGCGCAGCCAGATAGAAAGCTGTTAGAAATCTCGGGTCGCTAAGCGCCGGGTAAAGCACTACGTCTATGTCAAAACACGCTACAACAATAATGTAATAGAGCAATTCATAATAATCATGCATTGGAGGGAGCAGGATTAAGGCGCGCTCAGGTACGTAACATCGGTGGCGGCCTTCGGAGGCTGCTCTGGGCTGCTCACCCAAGCCCTGGCCATCAAGTACTTTAGCCCAGCATAGCCAACGATTCAGGAAGGGCCCGTTAAAATCTGGCCATTTTCATACATTCAATCTGCATGCCGTGGCGTTTGCGTAAGTCCTTGTTCTGCTCAGATGTGCTCCCATACATAGTCGACCGAGTTCATTCCAATAAAAAGCAAAGTCTAGGGACCCATGCGCATTCATGCGAGTCTAGAACTTCATACACCAGAAGGCAGCATGTTGTGGCGGTTTTCCCAGGTTACCACTATGGAGCAAGGCTAGAATTATTGTGCAGCCATTCCCCTTCGCTGAAAATCATAATTTTACAAACATGTTGATTACACATTTACAGTGTTCAGACCAAAAGAAACGTGTTGTTTCCTTGTCGCCAAAGGTAGTGGTGGTTATAGATAGATGCTCGAAATCAAGACGCATGTTTCGTGCTTTCTCCAGGCGTCATTCATGGGGCATGGATACTGGTCCTGATCATCGTGAGCTGGCGTCTAAGGCGTGCATAGACAAAGTACCACCTAACGAGGGCCACATGGCGTACGGGTGCCGTGCAAATTAGAGGTTCAGGTTTAACAGCGATTCTCAACAATAAAACTCAAGCCTGTATAGCTTCCTTCTTATTATAAGGAATGTTTTTTCGGTGGGAAACTGGACAAGCTCGCGTTCGCACCGTCGTTGGAGGTTTGAGGAAACCTCCAATTCGTGACCTCCGTGCAACGAAGTACTTTTGAATTACCTTCTTTCATCGCTTTTGAGATTTATGCAGCATACGACCTGGAACAATTTGGCATCCTATCGACTTAACTTACGCTTAGGTTTGCGTCATAGATCGATCGCTAAAGATGCAATCGGCAATGTCTATCTCCCCCAGTAGCTCTGTTTCGTCTCCAGGCGGGTGGAAGGCTCGGACCCAGGCCCGAGCGACATGGTGAGGGTTGTTGATGGGCGGCGATTTGCTGTCGCGTCGCAGCGCCCTGAATCCCGCCAGGCCCCTTTTTTCGCGCGCTTGGGTCCGTGTCTGTTTTTCTTCGTGACGGCAATTGACGCGACAATGGTTACGATTTCAGGCCTTGTAGCAGCTGCGGAAGCCCCACACGCCTGCTTCCCTCAAACGCCGTGGCAGGTGTCGGAATCCAGGTTAGTTCAAATGCCCATTGAAATATGGGTGTGTACGGGCTGTAATCCGGAACAATTCGACTCTTCAGTCCCTCAATTCAGCTCCTTAGCCTGCACTCGTCTGCATGGCGACTCGATCTCCATCTAGCAAAACATGGTGGCTTGAGTTGTCTCATTCTCACAGAATGCTGCCCCACAATCACTAGGTACCCGCGGCTACAACCAACTCTCCGTCAACCAGCTCCACTGGGCGCGGAGGAGCGCCGTCCACATCCTATAACGGTCGATCGACCTCGCCTAATATTCGCCCCACAAACGCACCTCTTCAATTACTCGTCCGCGCGGCGAAAGAGGCGCGAGCTCTATCGGCGGCACCCGCGGAGCTATCGGAGGTTTCTTCCCGTCTGGCGGCGGCGCAAAGCTGGCCTGGCTTGCAGGTGCGACGCGCAAAATGTCAGAGGAGCGACAGCACTCAATCGGAGCGACAGCTCCTCAGCGGGCTGCGTCTCCTACCCAATCTCAACCCTTTGCGTGCAGTGTGGTAGCGGGGTTTGGGATATTCGCATTTCGCCACAATTCTCATCTGCCATTGGCAGTTGCAGCAGCAGCAGCAGCAGCAACAGCCACATCATCAGCATTAATGAGATCTGGAGCACAGCGCTCAGCCTTACCCGCCGCATTAGTAGCAGCCACAGCACCGGCGCCGCTCTCAATGCTCCTCGAGCCCATTGCTCCTTAATATATGGGGCAGACGACTTGGGGGACGTTACCGATCTATCTGCGATGATGTACAAAACTACAGCATTGCTTTGCTTCATTTCATCTCGTTTAGTTTTGCGGCCTTGATGGAAATCAGGGGCCCCTTATCACGGACTTTGGGAGGGTCTCACTCGATCCCGATCCTGATGTTTAGTAGATAAACTCCCTGAAAATCCCTTTCCCCATCTCTCGCAACCCCCCTCCTCAACCACACACACACCCCGCAACCCCCTCATGGACCTGTGACCTCGAAGGTCATTTCCCTGCAGTTCCAAGGCCGACTGGACCAAGAGAGCTTGGTTGCCGTACTCAGGAAGGCAGCACAACTAGCAGCGAGTGAGTATTAGTGGGTGGGTATGAACGTGTGCGTATATATGTGTGTATGCGTGCGTGCCGACATGATTTTGACATAATTTCACATCCGCATGTGGGCATCATGATTTCACTTCTTGACGTGCACTAAGTTTACGCACCTGGGTTTGCAATTTGATGCATGGGGCTTACATGGATGCCTGAAAGGCTGATGCGTGGGAGCCACAGGGAGCCACCGGTTACCTAAAACCGAAGCGTTACGTAGATATTCTACGTATGGGTTGTCGGATTCTAAAGAGGCCTCTTTTGCTAAAGTGTCAAAAAGTGACAAAAGCTACTATGTTGTTGTGGTTGTTACAATGGACTCCAGACTCGTGTAGAGTCGATTTAGCTGGCCGGCGCTGGCCATGAATTGCACTTGTGACGATCAGGGCAATCAAGAGGCCCACCCAGACTAAACAACGCGAGTCAGACAAACAGCAAAGGCTATGGCCACGGGGAAATTTACCAAAGCAATCAGTTTCGCTACCGGGACTCGAACCCGGGTCTCGAGAGTGAAAATCTCGCATCCTGACCGCCTAGACTATAGCGAAGGTGTGCTTATTAGTGAATTCGATCAATTACATAGCCACATACGTACCTACACGGACTGTGGCGTAGCAGTTGCCCACTGCAGTTGCAGTTTGCTCATGCAGCAGCACAGCATTCCCCACCTACATCTACACTACCTACCCACCTACCTACCTGTCAACATACACATACATACCTTGACCCCAAAAAATTGTCTACCTGTCGCCCCTTACTCCCAACATCCCGCCCCAAAAAGCAGCGTCCCGCGACGGTCGCTCCTCCCCGAGCGCCTCAGACCAGTACGCGTGCTCGCGCTTCTTGGAGTGTGTGGCGGTGAGCTGCGCGTCACTAGTGCCAGCCATGACGCCGAACACGGTGGCGGCGGTGCTGGGTACTCTGGGGGGGCTGGCGGACTGCGGATTGGTCAACATGCGGCAGGTATGTATGTATGTATGTTGTTACAGGGTGGTTAACTTCGCCAGCGGCCCCCTTTCCCGGGGCAGTCCCTGCTCTCCCCTGCTAGAGGGGCACCCTAATCCGTCACCCCATCCGACTTCAGAATGTATTCGTTGGGTTCGGCAACTCACCACCAGCATCCAACCAAATCTAGCGGATCAACGGCGCATCAACTTAGTTCCTGGTCAGCTCGCAAGTTGATATTATCACGTCCTACACCGTCCATATGATGGGGGGCCACCTCCCATTTCATCACTCCTCAAACACCCGAGGAGCCGGCAGGCGGATTTGAACGGACATCCAAACAAAATGTATGTATGTATGTATGTATGTTTTTGTTGTTTTCGTGTGCAAATTCTTAGGGAGAGCGAGGGTATGTTGATAGCTTGGGTTGTAGGGCTGGAGCGGAGGCGTGCTGGGGGGAAGGGGAGTGAGGAAAAGAGAGGTCGGGAAGTGGTTTAAACCCCACAAATACACATAAAACCCGAAGGCAGAGGGGTATGCGCACACTGCAACGGTTGCTCCCAACTGATTTGGACGACTCCGACAGTTGGTGGTGATTTGGACAACGTGTATTCGTAGCTGAAAGATTGGCTTTTGCTGCTTCTCACGTATCGCCATGTTGTTACGTCCTGTTACGTTGATGTCACGTTGATGCTGTAAAAACACACTCGCTCTCACATACACAAACTCTCTCACACACACATACGCACACACATACATACATACGCACACACATACATACATACATACATACATACATACATACATACATACATACATACATACATACATACATACATACATACATACATACATACATACATACATAGGAGACCAGCGGGCATAGATCCCGTCTAGTTGGAGCGCCAAACGAGCGCTGTTGCGTGCCGGCCGTCGTTTCCCGTGCGGCCTGACCCGGGGGCGGAGTGCATGAGACTAGCCGGCCGGATGCACCCGCCCCCCGCGCTGTGTTTCGGCCCTGGGCCCCCGGCTTTTCAGCCCACAGTGTAATCAACGTCATACATACATACATACATACACACAAACGTGTTCCGGTTAGGTTACCCTCCTCCTCTCCACGTTCCTGCTCCCCTCCAGGTTCCCAATGTGGTGGTAGTTCTCGTCCAGGCGCTCATCCTCGCCTCCTTACCCCAGTTACACAACTACACGGGTCTGCAGCTGGCCTACTTGCTGAGGGGCTGTGCCCTCCTGTCGCCAAGCGGCGTGCCGGAGGTGTGTGTGCGACATCATCATGGTTGGGGCTGATGTCGTACCTGTCGGGGTGTCTTGTTCGGGATGCAGTTTTAGTGTTGCGTTTGCGCGTAGTGTTTTGTTGTCGTTGCTGTAAAGATGTCGGTACAGTGCATTGCATCCTGAATTGCCGAGAGGCAGTTCGTGGCAGCCCGAAAAGCTGCTGTCTTGCTGTTCTCACACGCGATTCGTTAACGTTAAGAAACACACTGTGATTGTGCACATTGACATTTAACGACATAACGACATATTTGATTTGATTACCATTTTGAAGTATTTGTACAATGGTATTCGTTAAAAGTTTATGTAAATATGGTTACGTGGTTTGTTCTCCCTCCACAACCCACTCGCTCTCATCTCCGTTTCTGAAGGTTTGGTTGGACGAGTGGCGCTCCGTAACCTCGGGTGCCGTACTCGCGGACATGTCCCCGGATGCGCTCGACGCGGTGGTCGCCAGCTTGCAGGTACTATTGATACATTCGACGTGGGAGGAGGTGGACTTTAGTGTCTGCCGGTTGGCGGTTAGACACTTGGGTGGTTGGTCAGTGGGAGAAAAATATCCGGAACCCCTTACTCGTCTACCTGCTCCTCTCACACCTTTGTTTTTTCCCTCGTCCCTTCCCTCCCCTCCCCTTACACACCCATGCAAACAAATAAACAAACATACGTACTGCATAACAACGCACTGTAAAACACAAACAGACCCATGCCTCCCCCTCCCTGGCCGGTTGCACTTGCACCCTCCCCCCCCCCCCGGAAAATTCCCAGGCCCTGTATTCCACTCAGAACTGGCTGCCTCATGACGCCTGGTTGGGGGAGCTTCTGCGGGCGGTTGAGGGACAGTTGGCGGCGTACGACGGAGAGGTAAGCCCCACCAGGGGCTACTGCCACTGCAGCTACTGCAATGAAGCCAGCGTGGGAGGGACTCGGTTTCACGCAATAAACACCCCAACGCGCCGTGTAGGAACCCAAATAGGACCACCAAAGCCAAAATAGGGGGGTACTTGCCGTGACGTCCCTGCTCCGGAACCGCGTCCTTGCCCCGCACACCACTACATTCCCGTGGGGTGCACCCGCTCCCACCTGCCTCGATATCTCACACACGTACATACAGACATGCACACATACACATACGATCTGTAGCTTATACGCACATGCACATAATATACTTGCACACATACACAGGCACATCTACGCACATAGTCCAACACATACATATTCACACACAACCCAAATCCACCCAACTCCTTGTCCTTGCAGCGTCTTCGTCAGCTGGTAGTAGCTCTGGCTGGTTTGGGGTTACGTCCCCACACGGACTGGTTCGGCAGCTTCCGTCGGGTTTTCGACTCCCGGGTGGCGGCGGAGGAGGTGGCTCCTCACGATGTGGCGGGGGTGCTGTACGCGCTCAACAAGTTGGATGTCGCCTTTGCGTGATGGGAGGGGGGTTGTAGGGTGCTTTGGGGCCCGTGGCAATGTGCCGGTGTGTTTCACTACCATCCAGGGAGGGGCAGGTGTGCGCAACCGGCCCGAGCCGGGGGTTGCGGATCGCGAGCTGTGAGGTGGTTGCTAAAATGTATCAACTGCTATACACGCACAGACACGTACATTCGCCGTTGGTTGGTGTGGATTGACGAACAACCGCCAAGCGACCATAACTAACCCATCGCCCACCATCGCTACTAGAATTAGCAGGTCTAGCTCGTCGTACTTGTCGTACTTGCCATGTCTGCTGCGTTAAGATGGTGTTTTGCAGGAGGGTTGGGATGAGTGTGGGGGCGGGGTGTGCCCGCGGGGTGAGGGATTGGAGGGATGTGCGGAGGAGGTGGTAAGGGAGGGATTGGAGGTGGGGTGTACATTCTCTTGGCCGCGAACTTGATGATGCGCGCGGCGTTGGGCGTGCTGTACACACAGTGTGTGAGTGTGTTTGTGTGTGTGCGCGTGCGTTTTTAGCGCAGGCGCAAGCGTTACACCCCACAAGGGTTAAAGTTGAGTGTTTGTACGCCTAAGCACGTGTAAATGTGTATGTGTCTGTTTTGTCGCACCTGAACGAGTGCATGCGTGTGTGTATCGACGTGTGTGCGTGTCACGACATTAGAGCATGATGAGAGTGTGAGGAAATAGAGAACCTCCACGCAGCCAGGTTCAGATGAAGGTGCACCGGCAAACCCCTAGGACGATGTTCCTCCTCCCCCTCCTCCCCCTCCCCCCAACGATATCGGCCCTATTGGAGCAACCGAACAATCTGTAGCTCATCCCGGGGGTGTTGTCGGTGGCCTCGCTGGTCTTAAGGGTCTCTTCGGGGCTTTGGGGGTTTGGGGTTTCGCCGCCGCTGCTGCTGCTGATGGTGGTGGTGGTGGTGGTGGTGATGATGAAAGCGGTCGAGAACTGTGGCATAAGGCCCCAAACAGGAGGGGTCTCTTGGGTTTGGGGGTTTGGGGTTTTATTGCGGTTGGCATAAGGCCCCATCGGGTCTTTACAAAGCACATAGAGGACGCGAGAAGCAGGGGGCCCGCAGTGCCCTGCATGTGCACCGGGTTCCGTGAGATGCACCTGGACCACCTGCTGACCACCTGGCGGGTTCGGCTTCACTTGACTTCACTTCGCTTCACTTCGCTTCCAAGAGCGAAAGAGCGGCGGTGAAAGTTTTCTTTCTGTGGAGAGATCCTAAGCTCGCAGCCATTCGCCCCCGTCTTTCTATCCCTTGAGCGACAGGAGGTCAGGTCGGGGCGGGTACGGCAGCAGGTCCGCTTCGTACTCTTATGTATGTATGTATGTATGTATGTAGGTGCGGATGAATGGTTGCTTGGTGGAGCCAGCGGAGGAGGGGGAGGAGATGGTGGGGGCCCTCCGGAACTCTGGAATTTGGGTTTACGTTTTGAGGGATGGGGATATCTCAGATATCATAATAACGGCTCCATAACTGCCCCACCCTCTCCCGTCGGTTTCGCTTTCACGGGGCCGCTGTTGCTGCTTGTGGTGGTGGTGAGCTTAGGGAGTGTGGGCGAGTGAGGGGTACAGCGTAAAGGGGCTACAGCCTTCCGAGGGTATGTTGCAGCGAAGGGGGGCGGGCAAGGCAGGCTTGACGCGTTACGCATATGTATGTATGTATTATGTTGGATTGGAACGTCAGTTAAGCTAATCAGAAATGGCACCTCTTGTTGCGCTGCGTTTAGGGGCGGTTCGGGTTTTGCAAGTGCCAGGTACGCGTGCTGACTTTAGGAGGCAGAATCCTTGCGTATGTATGTATGTATGTATGTATGCGTGTGTCCTTGTGTATAGCTGTCATGGGGCGTTGGGAGACCTGTCGATGAAAGTAAATTAAACGCACGAGGGGGGCTTCCGTACTCGAACGAAATCATCGCTGGTGTCCACCTTCAAGATAAGAGATAGAGCTACCCGACATACACGCGCACCGTGTGTGACTACGGCATGTAGGTGCGGCATGTACGATTAAGTCATGTGAGTATGTATATGCGTCTGTTTCTTATGCAGTTTGTGCGTGTGCTTGGTGTCGTGAATGTGTCTCGATGTCATCGGGCGCTTTTTATCAAGGCGTTGTTCCACCCCATCCCACCCCATTCAAGCACCCCTCGCGCGGCTATCAGTACAGTAGTATTATGTGTACACCATTACAACATTATTCGGCTCCAACAGCTCCAACACCCTTTCACAAATTCTTTTCCTTGGCAGCGCATTATTGAGCGCATTGCGTCGTGACGAGTGATCGCACCTGGGCCCTCGTTCTTCGTCGTTTGGTTCGTTGGTCGTTGTTAGTAGTTAGGTTAACGGCTAACGCATTGCTTGCCATTGGATTTCCTGCGTCTTGTTCGACCGCGTCCGGGCAGCAAATTTTATTCCACTAGCGTTTTTGCACTTTTCTGTTTATAAAGTGTTGTATCGTGAGCGAATTGAAATGGATGGCTGGAGGTTATCTTCTTGCAGGTTAATAAGTAATTTGATTTGAAAAATTCCCCGGGGTGGGTGGGGGCGAAAAAATAATTCTCCGGGGTCGAATGCGGTTTAGATGCCACTGCTTGCTGTGGCAGCCTCGGAATGATGAGATGTGTGCCTGTGCGTGTGTCATGCCTTGAGTTACATGTTACATGAAAGGTACGTCGAGCGGATTTTATGCGTATGTGCGCGCATCTGTTTGTGGTTGTGTGTATGGCGCATCTCGTTTGTGTCTGTATGTATGCAGGCAGCGATTGAATTTGTGTATTCGGCCAGTGACCATGGTGCTGTTGGTATTTCGCTGAACTGAAGATATAGGTTTTTTTCGACGCTGACCGGAATGTTGGGGGGGGGGGAAATTGCGGAGGGGGTTTTAGGGTTTAGGGTTTTACGGAGGGGGATTTACGTGAGGTGGACAAGTTGTGGTGTGCTTGTGTAACACCGTGTGTATACGTATTTGATCTGGGGAGCGATAGGCTGGTGGGTGCGATTGATGGCCATGATATCGCCACAATCTTTCACGAAAGAATGCAACTTTGGGGATTAATAAAATAAAGGTGAAGCTGATCAATCGAATTTGGCTTCACGAGCTGGTCGCATTAATTCGTATTTGTGGAGGCAGGTTTTTCCGGGGACATTTTGTTAAGTACGACGGAGTACGGCGCAGCTCCCGGAGCGTCCCAGACAGTCCAACTCCACGTCGCTGTTGAATAAGGATAGAAATACATGTATGTATGTACGTACACATACATATACGTTTTGCCTATGTAAATGAAAAAATGATATGTATTACGCCCTGTCTTTTGCCCCTAAACGTTTTGCCCCTGAACTCTCCGTTCTGCTGCACTCCGTGGAGGTTTTATCGAGGGCACCTCTGCATGTCACGAACTTATACACATGCTAAGAGGTTGCCGTTCAGTTCTTCGACAATTAAACTAGGCACTGCAAATGCAAAAAATGCAATTTACAAGGTGTACTGAATGTACTGGTCAGCGAGGGCTTTTGCGCGGCTTGATTGAAACTGTGAGATTGATAGAAAAGACGCTGTGTGCCTAAGAGTTTTTTTTGTGTGTGTGTGTGTCGAAAACGATTGGCCACAGTGGTTTGGTGTCGTACAAGACATTTGGGAGTGCGCCACCTCGTACTTCGCATTGGGCGTCACTCGAAAGGCATATCCACACTCAAGAATTACGTTTCTATTGTACTTTGTCGTACACGTCGTACACAGGTGATGAGCGCGCGGGACCTAGGTCGGAGACCAGGAGCGTCAAAGGGCCATGCAGCAGTCGTACTAACCTGTCGCACTGAATCGGCTCGTTCTTCAATTCTGTGCCGAATTTTATTTATAAATCGCTTCCTACGCTCTAGACGCATCCGCGGTACACAAGTTTACTCGCACATAATATGTTGAAAGACAGACAAATCTTATGTTGATGTTGTTACAGGGTGGTACAGCTTCACCAGTGGCCTCCTTCCCGAGGCAATTCCCTGCTCTCCCCTGCTAGAGGGGCACCCTAAGCCATTCACCCCATCCGACTTCAGAGTGTACTCTTTGAGTTTGGCAACTCACCACCAGCATCCAACCAAATCTAGCGGATCAACGGCGCCTCAACTTAGTTCCTGGTCAGCTCGCGAGTTGATTTTATCACGTCCTACACCGTCCACAAGATGGGGGGCCACCTCCCATTTCATCACCTCTCAAACACCCCGTGTTGTAGCGCGATAGCTACACAGTAGTGATGAGCTTATTAAGAAATATGCGAATCAATTATGACTATGAAATCTTCTGAAAACTGACATGGCTGTCAAGGAATCGTTTGTCAGAATTCACCGGAACTGAACATCAAGAATCTGTACGACAGCCTTACCGAAATCCATAAATTTACTGAAATCGTCTTTGCTCACAGAACGGACGTGGGTTTGTTTAGAATTCATATTCTACTCACGTTCGGAGCGCGGTCTTATACCGTGGTCGGGGCAGTGCCGGCCTGAGACATACTTCATGGGCCTGTAGCACTGCACTACACTACAACATCTTTTGGTGTCTCAGTAGCGCATTGCTATTAATAAATTATTCTCTAAGTAGTTTGCCTAGTTTAGCGTACCAGCCGCCTCCCTGACTGAAGGGCGGCTGACCATTGACTTCTGTGGCGGTTGTTCTCCGGTCCACCTCGCACCCCCAACGAAGCCCTGCTACAAGCCTTACTTGCTGGACTTCGTCTCTCCGTTCAAGGTTGGCGGCTTTGAACACGACTTTCTGTCCTTCCCACTATGGATGCGCCAACGCTCACCGATTCAATGAATGTAGATGAAATCACAGTACCACCACCGAATCTACCGAACCCGCTGGACTCACTGAACCTATCGACTCAACCGAATACAGCGAACCTGCAGCGCACCACCGAACCAACTAGAGATGCTGGCGGCTCCGCCGGCTCTTCCCGTGGAGAACACGAACTAGTGGAGCTAAAGCTACAACTAGT